TTGGGCAAATGAAGTAGAGTTCAGTTGTTTCTGTGACCTCGGCATATGAAGAGATAGTGTGGTCAGCCATATACCCAGCCGCCTTTACTTTCCCTAACGTGAGTTACGTACCCATCAGAGTTGGTTGGACTCAGGGACGGTCTATTGACTTGAACCCGGATTCGAACTCGAGACTTACGGGTTAGCAGTCCACTAGACCACTCCGTCCCATAAATTTATGCTGAACGGACTCGTTTTTTTTTCGCCTATATAACACATGCCCACCCATAAGTGTTTGAACTCTTTTATACCATGTCAGTAGTACAGACTAATGTATACCATGTCGGTGAGTCTGACTGATTTAAAACACTAATGTAACGACTCCAGTAACGATGAAGGGGCGAAATCTGTACCAAGCACAAAAGGTCTCATTTTTTAAAGAGCGAAATCATTTAAAAATAAACCGGGAGTGATCTCCCCTAAATTTTCTCGAATATTCTTACATAAAACTACGGGGGATGGCACCTCGGGATTTAGGCATGATTTTAATCAATTTTTATTTTAAAAAATAGAATAGAATCTTGTAGAAAAAAGAATTGCACACCAAACGAACGCGAAACAATCTGTGTATAATAGTGCGGAGTATTATTAGTACTTTATAAATTCACATTCATTTTTTTTTTGAGAAATCGGAAATAGCGTAAATTACAACTTCCGGTCTATGGAAATTACTCAAAATTTCACAGAAGGCAGAGAATTAGATCGTTTACTTACATGTGAAATTTCATTTATCTATCTGAAAGAATAATCAAGTTATATGATTTTTGAAAAACCAAAATAGAATGAGTTCCACTTCCGGTTACCGGAAATCGCTGAAAAGTTGATACAGAACTACAAATTTAATATAATACATAAATATCAAAGTTCATCAACCTAGCTGTGACGGTACTCAAGTTATCGTGTTTACAGACACACATACACACACACAAACATACGGACAGAATTGAATAGCCCAGTTTTTCCGACTCGATTACGCATAGAACACCGAAATTTTGATAAATCTACATTTATTATTTTTGCCCAATCAAAATAAGTCCCCTATACTCCGTATATGATGAAGTACTGAGGTGTAGTGTACAACGATGAAAACTCTAAATTTCATGTGATTTTTGTGCACGATTAAAAAACTTCTTCTATACCCTGTATACAAGAAAGTAATTAAGCTTGCTGACATCATTTTAGAGATTGTTTGCAATCTTTGAATTTTGAATTTTTTTTTACAGTTCTTTTATACATTAAGTACTACAATAAAAAGGGGGAAAATGTGATATATATGTATATATTTAATTTTAGGAAACAAAACACTGTGAATTTTTTCCCGCGTCGGCCAAAGGTCGTACGAACCGCAAGTAGCCACAGACCAGATGTATAGCCCCAGGCTACTCTCCACATAATGGGGGCAGGGAGAGTTGCGTACCTTGTCCCACCGTAGCGTCATGCGCAACCGGGGCGACGAGTGCCTCGTTTTGATGAAGATGGCGGCCATGATAAGTTTGTAAACGGCCGGTCGTATGGTCCTTTTTTTCGTATTGTCCGGGGACCTTGACCTTCTCAACCGCGCACATAAATTCGTGGTAGGCTAAAGAATTCGTCCGCCATCTAATGACTCGTGACGAGGAGATAGGGGTATCCAATGTCAGCTTTGATAGAATGTTTTTCATGTATGTCGAATGGGTAGAACAGGGACCACGAGAACGGTGACCGAACACGCTATCGCACTAGCATTGTGGGGGAAGGTGTGTGTGGGGGGGAGGGGGGGGGGGAGCTGGGTTAGGATACTTCACAAGATTTTTATAAAAACTGAATGGATTCAAAACTTAATCTTTATATCACCAATTATAAGCGTTCAATCATCAAGCTTGAGAGTTGAAATCGATAGCTCAGAAAAGCAGGCGTGTAATCGATGTATCAATCAAGATTATGATCTGAATAACTTGTCAAAAAAAAAGCGTTTGAACTTAAAGAATAGAACTGTGGTGTGGAGAGTTGAGTGGATGTTTTAGGTTTGGGGTGGGGAGGATTTTAGGATGTGGGTTGTGTATGGACGATGGTGTGTGTAAGGGTGTAATGGGTTAGGTAATGGTTATGGTGTTTGTTTTATTGTTATTAAATGGCGTTTTTCGGTGTGATTTAATGTTATAATGTTGTTTCTTAGTGTTATGTTATAAAGGTGTTTTGTGTTATAGTGGTGTTTTAGTGTTAAAGTGGTGGTGTCTCTATGTTAGATTGATCTGCTATTGTTGATTATTTCTACCTTTCAGTACGACACCAGAAACGTGATATTAAACATTCACTTAATTACATAGACTACATAATTATATACGTGACTTTGGGCAATTAAAAATTTAACGCCGAGTTGAAATAGCATCTGGACATTTGTATATCCTCTGATACCATGCTAATGTTATACCTGTATTACATATGCCACACAAATGTTATACCTGTATTACATATACCACACAAATGTTATACCTGTATGACAGATGCCACACCAATGTTATACCTGTATCACATGCGCCACATCAATGTTATACCTGTATCACAGATGCCACACCAATGTTATAAATGCATCATTTGATATATAAAAAAAATCTAGTTTAATTCCAATCTTTAATTTAAAATGGCTCCTCGTCCGTCATCTCTCTCTGTGTGAAATCTTCCGATCGAAACTTCGCCCGCTTCTACAGAGCATATTTGATTAAAACTTGACACGCTTGACATGAGCTGTGACATAAATCCATGTTTCATTAATTTTTAAAAATAATTAAATAATGCAGAACAAGTAGTGTCGTGTTGTTAGACAAATGACCATTGTTTTCATTTGGTGAGCATTTCTTCTTTAAATCATGAGATTTATTTTTAGTTCTAAACAGTAAAGAAAAAAAAATTAAAGTATAAAAACTGAAGGACTCGGAGAAAATAGAATTTAGTTTTAAATAAAATAATGCAGCACTATTTAGCTTATACACTGGTTTGATTGTCTATTCTTTATTTATAAATTAAAATTTGTTTATTATTATAGACGTTTTTAATACATTTTTTTTAAATTTTTTTTGTGTTAGATTTGTTTTGTTAAGTGTTTTCGATATTAATTGGTATGTTTCAGTCTAGGCTTTGCGCGAAAACGTATTCCATGGGAAGCAACCAAACAATATAGCGAAATACAAATATCGAGAAATTACTTCCCTTAATAAAATGTTTCTATTCTCTCTCTATTCAGTCTATTGGCAATGGACCTAACCGAGGAAGTCAATGAAATTATTCGAAAAGCCCCTTGAATTTTTTTTTTAAAATAATTTAGTTCATATGGTATAAAAATTATTTTAAAATTTTATCGGCAAAGTTTTAAGAGCAAATTACTGTGGAGTGGGGTTTTTAGAATATCCTATAAATTCAATCAATACTTTTGTAAGTACAAAAGTGAAACTTCAGATTATAGCTTAGATGAAATTGAATAGAAATGCAGCCTTGAACTCAAAAAATTGTTTTCATGTTCTCTGGATTTGCAACTTTTATATCACTGATTCTTGGAATATTCAATTTTTTAGTTATTTTCCCGCTTATTTTATTCCGGCAGCTTTGATGGCAAAATTTAAAAAAAAAAAGGATTTATATTCATGTCAACAATAATGATGGAGGGTTCTTGTCCTCTCATTGATGCCCATTCTGTTAATTAATTTTCTGTTAAAATTTTTCATTTTTAATTTAGCTAAATTTTTTTTTTATATTGAAGTTTAGATATTGAAAAAAAAACATGTTTTTAAGTCTTTACTATCTTCAACTCTACTTCTATTCAAGGTTTAGGGTTTATAACATATCTATCTATCTATCTATCTATCTATCTATCTATCTATCTATCTATCTATCTATCTATCTATCTATCTATCTATCTATCTATCTATCTATCTATCTATCTATCTATCTATCTATCTATCTATCTATCTATCTATCTATCTATCTATCTATCTATCTATCTATCTATCTATCTATCTATCTATCTATCTATCTATCTATCTATCTATCTATCTATCTATCTATCTATCTATCTATCTATCTATCTATCTATCTATCTATCTATCTATCTATCTATCTATCTATCTATCTATTTCTATTTCTATCTCTATCTCTATCTCCATCTCCATCTCCATCTCCATCTCCATCTCCATGTACATCTACATCTACATCTACATCTACATCTACATCTACATCTACATCTACATCTACATCTACATCTACATCTACATCTACATCTACATCTACATCTACATCTACATCTACATCTACATCTACATCTACATCTACATCTACATCTACATCTACATCTACATCTACATCTACATCTACATCTACATCTACATCTACATCTACATCTACATCTACATCTACATCTACATCTATATCTACATCTACATCTACATCTATATCTACATCTACACTTACTTCTACATCTACATCTACATCTACATCTACATCTACATCTACATCTACATCTACATCTACATCTACATCTACATCTACATCTACATCTACATCTACATCTACATCTACATCTACATCTATATCTATATCTATATCTATATCTATATCTATATCTATATCTATATCTATATCTATATCTATATCTATATCTATATCTATATCTATATCTAGATGTATATGTATATATATATATATATGTATATGTATATATATATATAAATATATATATATATATATATATATATATATATATATATATATATATATATATATATATATATATATATATATATATAGTGTTTAATTTGTTACAATGTTAGCTTATAAGATAAAATATTATGCTAACACCAATTGTTTGTTTAATCTACACATGTTTACAAAGCTCAAACACACACTGGAGAAATTTTGTAGCAAGATTATGGTTGGAAAAAAAATGTATTATAGAGCAAGTATCAACTACAAGACTATCAGGCAAACTTTAAAATGATGACATAAATTCAATACAACAAAATGTTAAATTTTGTGGACAATAGTAAAAGCAACAACCATTTATATGACAGCAAACCCATACACCTAAATGATTTTTCATATGTGTATGAACAGCTGCTACATTATTTTAAAACAGAAGTATTTAAAACTTGATAATTACTAACAGTGCAAGTGATAATGTTTTTTTGTTTTAAGAAATAAAATATACAAAACTACTAGAAAAAAAATTATTTTTACAAAAAAAGGTGTATGGATTAGACTAGTCTAGACCTTGTTTAAAAGTTGCCAATATTTTAAAATGTTTGTGTTGTTTTTGTGGAGAATAAAGATGAATTAGTCCACTAGTTAAAATGATGTAGGCTTTAAACATTTTATCAAATAGTGCCATTAAACATTATTTAACAAAACTTTCATAAAATTAAATTTACAAATTCTACAAAGTGTATTTTTACTATAGTTGTTTGATTTCCAGCAACTAACGCTTGTCTCCCTTATACCATTCATTTTTGTCTCCTCTTTCAGGAAATGGCTATATTCTTCCCTGCTTATCTCCCTTCCTGCCATCAATGCTTGTCTCCCTTCCTGCTTGAATCAACTTGTGACTGTCCAAGCTGAATGATTGTATTAAATGTATCTGGTTCAAGCTCATTCAGAAGTTGTTCAGCTATTCGACTTCTCAGTCTGCCACCAACCTGAAGGATTTTAAACATCTTATTTTAAAACAATGCTAAGAAAAAAAAAACACTTTATTTTGAGTGATCACCCTTAAACTTTCTCGAATTTCTTAAATAACACTAATGGTGATGGCAACTCCAGTGTAGTATGGATATAAACATTTTTTTAAAAATAAATTTTCAAACCCTTAAATTTTTTAAATAGAATAGAATCTCCTAAAAAAATTGCGCATCAAATGAATAGCAAATAATCTGTTTATAATAGTGTGTAAGATTATTTTAAGTATTTTATAAAGAAAACCAGAGGAATCAAGTTTTAGAAATCAGAAATAGGATAAAGTACTTCTTGTTGTCAATGGAAATTACTCAAAATTTGACAGAAATTAGAAAATGAGTTCTTCTACATATATGTGAAATTTCTTCTTTGTAACTGAAACAGTATTTAAATTAAAGGCTTTTGAAATACCGAAAGTAGAATAAGTTCCATTTCAGGTAAATGGAAATCACTGAAAAGTTGATACAGAACTACAAATTTGATATAATCCTTATATATGAAATTTCGTCAACCTAGCTGTTACGGTACTCAAGTTATCAGACAGACATATGGACAATATTGCAAAACTATGTTTTTCTGACTCAGGGAGGTGTAAAACATAGAGATTTGTGAAAATCTCAATTTTTATTTTTTTGCATGATTACAAGGCTTCCTCTATAGGCTACTTCATACATGAGAAAGTAAAAATGAAAGTTTCTCTCACATACCTTTTTTGAAATTATTCCACAGAACATGACAAGGTTACATTATTTCTATTTTCTAACCAAAATATCAAAACGCAGGAAACAATCCTGTTTATCCATGTAAATAAAAAAGTAACACCACATTCCTCAGCCATGGGACTGTGTGGTCAGATGGTAGAGCATTCAGCTGCTGGTCCGAATGTCTCGAGTTCAGATCTTGGACCAGACTCATGGCTGCAGGATGTCCTGAATCCACCCAGCTTTGAAGGGTGCCAAACTCACATTAGGTAAAGTAAAGGCGTCTGGGCATAGTGCTGACCACACCATACCTACATACACCAAGGTCAAAAACATGAATTCTAATTCATCTGCTTTATAAATTGTAAGATATAAAACGGGAGCTTTGCTTTTACTTAAATTCCTCAACTGTGTTTTATTTTCTTCCTTATAGTTTTTTAAAGGTTACCTTCTGTGTTCCCTATAGTTTATTTAAAGGTTAAGACACTCAAAAAACTTCAGGAAAAATCTACCTTCTGTGTAGATAAGATAAAGGATAAGACACTGAAAAAATGTCAGCCCAACCCACCGTCTTTGGTCGCTGGATCTTCTTGCTCTCATTGTTTAAAGCAAGATTCAGATCCATTGGTACCTCACCCAGGGGCGTCAGGCTACGGTTGGCTGGCCACACGACCGCTGGAGGCCAGTTGCTACTTCCTGTAGACGGCCGTCTGTTTACACTAGCTGATGTGGCACGTGATCTAGGCTTGGCTGTAGAGGTCACACATTAATGGAGTATAGCTTTGATGACATGTATAATGACATAATAGAGAATATAATTGGATTAGATAAATATTGTGGCAGATATGTAGGATATAAATGGATTGTAGGAGTATACCTACTTGAGGATATAAATGGATTACGTATAGCTATAGAGGATATAAATGGATGGTTTAAATTAAAAATATTGGCTTTAATGTATGAACAACATGTTATTAAATGAACTTGATTGGTTAACAAACACCCATTTTCATTCACTTGGATCCCTTACAAAAACAAAAACATTTGGGGCCTTTCCAACACACACTACCCCAAAAATTGTTTACATGGAGTTAATTATTTAGGCAAGAAATAAAACCTTTCTATTGATATTTTCAAGAAAGGAATTTTATAGATAAACAGTTATTCATTAGAATTACAAGAATTATCTAGTGACATGATAATATTAAAACATCAGCATTTTTAAAAACAATTTTTTTTAAATTATATGTTTGAAACAGACAGGTGAGCACAGTTCGTTGGTACTGAGATTTAAAATATGGTATTTATTCATTTACACATTTATTACTCTATTCAGTTAAAGGTTTTCTACATACACTAAAGTAGAACGCTCGACTCTAAAATATTGCTATGGTAGAATATTCACAAACAATAATTTTAAGGGATTTTCAATTGATGATTTCAGATCTAGTTATCAATGATCTTATTTTATTTTAGTACTATTTAATGTCTATGTATTTTAACGACGTTTAAGAACATACTTCTGGATTGTCTCCCTTGATAATTTTGAATTTATAAATGGGAAATAAGAGATTTCCAACACGTTGAAATAGAGTCCTTGCAAACACGTGACCTAAATCACGTGATACCTACGCCCGCCGCCACAGTGGTGTACATCAGACGTAAACACAATCAGCTGTTCGCCAGCGCTGGACGTGTTCACCAGCGCTGGACGTGTTCACCATATGTAAAGAATCGCGCCCGCGGAAAAGGAAAAATATGTTAAAAAACTTGAACTCTTAGGAATTGAAGATCCTTATACAGTTATTGACAGTTTCGTGGATAATATAAATATGTGGACAAAATTTCTAAATAAAAATACTGTTAGTAATACCGTTTGCGTTTAGAGTTTAAGTAGACGAATCTGATCAAATGCAGTAATATATTATAGGTTATCTACTGTAGCAAACGTGAGACCACTTAACTCCTACAAAACCCACACTACAACGGCTAATATAATCCATGGGTAATAACCAATCTGGGTAGCATGTTATACAATTTAAGACCCTTATAATCCAGCAGGGAAGTAATCAGACACATTAATACTGACGTTCAACCCTCATGATGGCTGCCCCCACCTGTATCTAGCCCACAATAAAACCAAAGAGGAGTCTGCCCTGCCCTCCCCTGAAAATGTCTCACCTCCGTGATACCCAGTCCCACAGAGATAGTATTTCTTATATAATTTTAACCCTCAGGGCCCAGCAGGGAGAACAAAGGGGAAAGTCCCACTGCTCTCCCCTCAACACTTCTCACCTCGGTGTCATGTTATGTCATTTATAGCACACATGGCTTATCAGGGGAAAGCATTAAGGCATTAAGAATCTTAACTCTGGACAGCTACACACTAGTATACTAGCTACACACTAGGTGCCTACTGTAAACTACTAGACTGTAGGCCCTATGTAGACCTGCAATTGTATCAATTGTAGACTGGGTCCATTGTTATTATTCTAAACCATCTCACTTATAATGTTTCTAGCTTGATTTGTTTCTTTTATAAACAGTGGATTTAAAAAAAAAATAGCCTAATCATTAACCAAATAATAATAATGTGGTTATTTGTTGTTGGCTGGTATGATCTAGAAATCTAGATTGTACTAGATCTACTAGGCTACAAAAACTTAGTAGACCAATTACTAGATATGAATTTGAATTTAATTAAACTCAGAAAAGAATCAGATACATATTGATGTAAAAAGACAAAAAAGTAGGTAGGCCTTAGTAATTTATTAAAGCCTTCTACTACAATAATATCAACTACATGCTTGTATAAAGTTTTTACAATTTAATTTAAGTAGCAGATTCTAGATCTAAGTCTAGTCATACAATCTATTTCAATTTCAGAAAATTTCGTTTGCTAAAAAAATGATTAGATAATAGAGCGAGATTTTAGATCTTAGAGACAATTAAATGCTTTATTAGGCCTATTATGACTACTTTTGATTTATTATGGGTGTATTTTGAATCGAATGTAGATCTAAAGTAATTAAATTTAAGTAGCCTAAAGAAGTAGATTCTAGATTCTATGTCTACCCAGCGGAGCCAGGTATTAGGCCTACTATTAGATCTTATTATTCTTATTATTACTTTTGACTTTGTCTTTTACTATTAGTATTTGTGAAGGTCGAGCATATTTGTTTTATTAATAGTTATCTTTTATAATTAAAATGAAGTTTATTATTTTACTGTCCTTACCTGAAACAAAGTATCGAGAACTGCATTTGATCAGATTCGGCTACTTTAACTCTAAACGCAAACAGTATTACTAACAGTATTTTTATTTAGAAATTTTGTCCACATATTTATATTATCTACGAAACTGTCAATAACTGTATAAGGATCTTCAATTCCTAAGAGTTCAAGTTTTTTAACATATTTTTCCTTTTCCGCGGCGCGATTCTTTACATACAGTGAACGCGTCCAGCGCTGGTGAACACGTCCAGCGCTGGCGAACAGCTGATTGTGTTTACGTCTGGTGTACACCACTGTGGCGGCGGGCGTAGGTATCACGAACGGACGTGACGTCATATGAAAGGACTCTATAGGGTGATTTTAAATGTTTTCAGAATAGTTTATTAATTTTAATCCTTTGTTACCCCTCTATTTGCTTGGAAAACTTTTGTTTCAATTTGTTTCAATTGTTTAGCACCAAAAAAAAAAAACTATCTTAAAATTTTTTTTTTCAAAAAGCATGTTTTAAAAATGCAAAACACACCAGAAACATAAAAGCCTTACCCTGACATGCAGCCTCCCCACCCTTAAAGCTCATATCCCGGCTCTCTACCCCATCTACCCTGATGTTGCTACACAACACTCAAGCCCTCACCAACATCACTCTAGATCCAACCCTTATCTAAGACTTAAAATACCATATTCTCTTACAATAAGCCATTAGAAAATAAAGCTTTAAAATATGATCACAATAAATAAATTAAAAACAAAATCACAACACAACGTCAAAAACACACAAAATATACATAAACATATATATATATATATATATATATATATATATATATATATATATATATATATATATATATATATATATATATGTATATATATGTATATATATATATATATATATATATATATATATATATATATATATATATATATATACATTTATGTATTATCTGTATTATATATATCATCAGTATGATGTATATTTATAGATGATATATAAATATAGATACAGATATATAAGGGGTCGTCCATAAATGACGTCACACTCATGGGGGGGGGAGGGGGGTCCGTAATTTTGTGATGGTGTGTGATGAGGGGGAGGGGGGGTTCAGATGGTGCGACGTCACACTTTTGCAGCGTGTGACGGAGGGGAGGGGAGAGGTAAAAATCATCAAAAAAGCGTAACGTCATTTATGGATGACCCCATATTATCTCATCTTGTCCCTTTAACAAAGTGCTTTATGAGGCTATGTGGCAAGGATAACACCACATTGTTCTAGTCAGCTCTCTTGGTGATTGTATGAATGACATAAGTATAATTGTGTGAATTACTTTAGTATGATTGTATGAATGACTTTAGTATGAATGATTTAAGTTTGAATGTATGAATAACTTTGGTATTAATGTATGAATGACTTTAGTATGAATGCATGAATGACTTATAATTGAATGACTTTAGAATAAATTACCAGAAATAGTAATTGACTTAGAATTGAATATAAGTCACAGAGATAAAAAAACAACTTACAATATGTTGAGAAGATGGACGAAGGTGGCCGGTTTAGCAAACATGATTCATAATCATACACCTATCAGAGGAAGATTTAAAAAGCATTACTTATTTGGATATTCGATTAGCAGATTATATTTTGAAAAAAACTCAATTTGCATGACATTCGTTAAAAAATGTCACCACTAAAAGCTGAGGTAGCCATCTTCTGACTCTGCTATTTAAAAAAAAATCATGTAGAATCTATCCTGTGACTGTAAAGTCGCTGCCTCTACTATAAAAAAAATCCTGTAGAGCCTAACCTGTGACTGTAGAGTCAGTGCTGACTCTGCTATTAAAAAAAATCATATAGAGTCTAACCTGTGACTGTGAAGTCAGTGACTCTACTATTAAAAAAAATCCTATAGTCTAACCTGTGACTGTAGAGTCAGTGACTCTACTATTAAAAAAATCCTATAGAGCCTAACCTGTGACTGTAGAGTCAGTGCTGACTCTGCTATTAAAAAAATCCTATAGAGCCTAGCCTGTAACTGTAGAGTCAGTGATGACTCTGCTATTTAAAAAAAATCCTATAGAGTCTAACCTGTGACTGTGGAGTCAGTGCTGACTCTGCTATTACAAAAAATCATGTAGTCTAACCTGTGACTGTAGAATCACTGACTCTGCTATTACAAAAAATCCTATAGTCTAACCTGCGACTGTAGAGAGTCGACTCTGTTGAAAGCATCCAGCTTAAAGTTTCTCTCCTGGTTGAGTTGTTTCTTGATGAGGCTGATCTCCCTCTTGCTCTTCTCGTAGGCCATCAGCGTCAGCTTGGTGGACTTGTCCTGGTCCTGTTCTAGCATCTTCAGCCTGGACTCCTTGTCCATCAGCTCATCCACCTGACCGGATGGACACCAATTCAAACAGGTCATCTTGACATTAATACAAACAGGTCATCTTGACAGCAATACAAACAGGTCATCTTGACATCAATATAAACAGTTAACCTTGACACCAATACAAAAAGGTTGTCTTGACACCAATACAAACAGGTCATCTTGACATCAATATAAACAGGTCATCTTGATCAGAACAAACAGGTCATCTTGACACCAATATAAACAGGTCATCTTGATCAGAACAAACAGGTCATCTTGACATCAATATAAACAGGTCATCTTGATCAGAACAAACAGGTCATCTTGACACCAATACAAACAGGTCATCTTGACATCAATATAAACAGGTCATCTTGATCAGAACAAACAGGTCATCTTGACTCCAATATAAACAGGTCATCTTGACACTAATATAAACAGGTTATCTTGACCAATACAAATAGGTCAACACTTAGCACCTATTTAAAAAGGTCAACATACACAAGTTTTTAATAAAGAGGAAGAAAGCTAGAAATATTGCTGTCAGGGCAATAAATTAGACTAATTAATTGCTGGTATAAAACTAATTATAATTTATTTTAAAATAAATAAATCAATTAAGAAATATAGTGCACTTCCATCCATGAAAATAAAGCATGCACCTGAATACAGGCGATGAAAATATTTATAGACAAAATTGAATGGAATGGTATTACTGGCTGGCATTAAGCTTCAAACCTGTTTGCTTTCTTCTTTAAAAAAAAACACTTAAAATATTTGTTGAGCAGGGAGCATTATTTTCAAAACAATTGGTGTCTGTCATAGTAGGTACTTATGAAAAAATTCGAAAGGTATACCTTAGAAAACAGAACAACAAAAGAAATGATTTTTTAGTGAATGTGAAGTTTCTGTGGTAATACTCTCCTATGTGTAAGCTAAATATTTCTAAGATCAACTGACCAGCTTGTCCACTGTGGCCTGTTTGGCCTGCTCTAGCTGCTGTTTGCTCCTTTCTTTCTGAGCTGTTTCATGCTCACGCTCAGCTTTCAACTTCAGCTGGAGACAAAAAACATCAAAATACTTCAAACATCAAATTAAACATCAAATTACTTGAAACATCATAACAGTTTAAACATAAAATTACTTGAAACATCATAACAGTTTAAATATCAAAATACTTTAAACATCAAATTACTTGAAACAGCTAAATACTTGAAGCATCATAACAGTTTAAACATCACATTACTTGAAACATTAAATTAAACTTTAAATTACTTGAACATCTTAACAGTTTAAACATCAAAATACTTGAAACATCATAATATTTTAAACATCAAAATACTTGAAACATAACAGTTTGAACATCAAATTACTTGAAACATCTTAACAGTATAAACATCAAAATACTTGAAACATCATAACAGTTTGAACATAAATTACTTGAAACATCAAATTACTTTAAAATAATACATCAAAATAATTTAATTATCAAAATAGTTGTTTAAACATCAAAGTACTTTGTATGTGGAATCTGTCAAACTATACAATTTTAGGTCAATTTTTTGTTCCCCTGTAGCAGTTATAAAATTTTTGATATTGAATTTCTTACCTCCCTGCTCAACTTTTTCCTGACTTGATTGGACTCCTTGTCCATGTCCAGCATACTTTTCCTCAGGGCAACCAGCTGTTGGCGCAGCAAGATGATCTCTTCCTCAGCCAACATGCGCAGCTCTAGCTCCGCCTTCTTGCAGTCCTCTGCTACTTGCTTCAACTTGCTTTTCTAAATGTCAAATACAATGCAGGTTATAAACTTTATATTATTAATCATAGTTTACCTGTGTTGGGTGTGTAGTTTACCTCTGTTGGGTGTGTAGTTTACCTGTGTTGAGTGTGTAGTTTACCTGTGTTGAGTGTGTAGTTTACCTGTGTTGTGTGTGTAGCTGACCTGTGTTGGGTGTGTAGTTGACCTGTGATGGGTGTGGAGTTTACCTGAGTTGGGTGTGTAGTTGACCTCTGTTCAATGTGTAGTTTACCTGTGTATCTACCAACACAACCTGTGAGCACTTATCTAACCAAGCAAGCAACTTACAGATTTAAGAAAATTGTGGGACTGGACGTTCAACCTCCAAGAGTTGAGGGCCCTAGCACTTACAGATTTAAGAAAATTGTGGGACTGGACGTTCAACCTCCAAGAGTTGAGGGCCCTAGCACTTACAGATTTAAGAAAATTGTGGGACTGGACGTTCAACCTCCAAGAGTTGAGGGCCCTAGCAACTTACAGATTTAAGAAAATTGTGGGACTGGACGTTCAACCTCCAGGAGTTGAGGGCCTTCATCTTGAGGACCAGCTGACGCAGGTTGTGGTTCTCATCTTGTAAATCTTCAACCTGGGTGGCCTGCGCTATGTTGGCTCTCACATGTTGGTCATCTGTCAGATGGTGTTTTGTTAGGTTCAATTGTGGCTCAAGTTATTATAAACTGGTGTTTTTTTAAGGTTCAATTGTGGCTCAAGTTATTATAAACTGGTGTTTTGTAAGGTTCAATTGTGGCTCAAGTTATTATAAACACTACACTTGACTTATCAGCAATAGTGATGACATTTCTCCGGTTATTGTTATTCATAACATCATGGCCCAAAACTAATTCAAATGTCAGATTGTATTGATGACTTATAAGGATAAAGGGTGGGTGGGGAATATGGAGGTGATCTCTACACACAATATATGATATCACAAACAAAAGAAAGACTTTATAAAAATATGGAGATAAAATCAATATGATACTACAAAATCTTTAAACATATGGGGATAACATAAAAATTATACTATAAACTTTTTAAAAAATATGGGGATAACGTAAATATTAACAAAAGGAATAGTTAGCGCATACAAAGGGAGATTTTACACAAATATGTGGATAGCAAAAGGAAGATTTTTCACAAATATGTGGGTAGCAAAAAGAATATTTTTAAAAAGAAGTATTTGGATAACCAACCTGAAGTCCCTTTAAACTTCTGCTGTAGTTTGCTCATGGCCAAGATGGCTTCCTTCCTTGTTTCACTGATCTTATCATACACGTCAGTGTGGAGATCATTTCTGTAAACATTAGGTGGACGGTGGATATTTAAAAGAATTCTTGAATGAGTTTAATGTAGGCTATCTATCATGATATAGTGATGTAAAGAACTAATCTGAAACAGTCTATAGGTCAGGGCATCTGTCTTTAAGGCCACAAAGGAGTGTCTCAAGATGAGCTGCTACTTTCTACAAACAGGTGCAGGTTTTTGGGTTGTATTTTACAGAAGAATGGTCAACCCAAAGAAAGTTATGAAGACTTTAGTACTTAATATTTACTTTTTGTAAAAGGAAAAAGGTTTTATGTGGTGAAAACTAAATTTCCAAAAACTATCAGAATACAAACTTACATTTACAATAAAATTTTCCAAACATAACAACCACAGACCTGTACTAAGAGTTGACAAACATAACTACCCCAGACCTACCTAAGAGTTGACAAACATAACTACCACAGACCTACCTAAGAGTTGACAAACATAACTACCACAGACCTGTACTAAGAGTTGACAAACATAACTACCACAGACCTGTACTAAGAGTTGACAAACATAACTACCACAGACCTACCTAAGAGTTGAGCAAATGTTTTGGTCACATGGGGTCTCACCTGAACTCGTCAAACCTGCTGCGCAGCTGGTGGGTGGAGTTAAAAATGTTGTGCACCAGATCCTGGTACTCTTCTCTCACACGCTCGCGGATATTCCGCTCCTGGGTCAAGGTCATCTCCCTCATCTCAGCTATCTTGGCTCTCAAGGCTGTCACCTCTGAACATAGAATTGTACTTCTAAATCAAGCTTAGCTCTTAGATTAAAAAATTTAACAAAATTTCTTTTTAGATTTCTTTGGAGTATAAGATGTCAAAGTAAAGAACTGAATGGGAATAAATTTTTTTCTACCAGGAATTTCTTAACAAATTAACTGACAATTATTACATCATGTAGAAAACAAAATAAATCTATCAATCACATTCAGAACTAAAGATTGTACATACATTCAGTGTATTCTGCTACTGTATAAAAATTCCATAGACAACACCCAGCCATAACTCCCCTAAACTAAAATCTACTAGACAAGACCTCTGAGATATAACCTTGTTTGAACTGTATATAGGGAAGAGAGGGATGGGGAGACCTACTCAGTGGCGTAGCCAGGTCGGGTGTCACCCGGTGCGGCACTTAATGGTGTCGCCCCCCCCCCCCCCCCCGAGGCGTAGCGACCCTTAACGGGGACAAACTTTCACATTTTCGATTTGCACCCCCACTCAAACTTTTGATTTGCAGCCCCCCCTCCTCAAACTTTCGATTAGCACCCCCCCTTCAAGTTTTTCTCTATTTATTTTGCTATTTTTTGCCTTGGTGTCACCCCCCCCCCTAAATGGTGTCACCCGGTGCGGTCCGCACCCCCTGCACCCCCATCGCTACGCCTCTGGACCTACTCACCCATCAGAAGGTCGTGTGCGTCATTAGCAAGCTGACACTGTACCAACACCTGGCTCTCACACTTGGCTTCCTTCACCTCAGACTTTAAATGTTTGATTTCCTGAAATTTAGGAGAGACTTTAAATGTTTAATTTCCTGAAATTTAGGAGAGATTTTAAATGTTTGATTTCCTGAAAATTAGGAGAGACTTTAAATGTATGATTTCCTGAAATTTAGGAGAGATTTTAAATGTTTGATTGCCTGAAATTTAGGAGAGATTTTAAATGTTTGATTTCCTGAAATTTAGGAGAGACTTTAAATGTTTGATTTCCTGAAATTTAGGAGAGATTTTAAATGTTTGATTTCCTGAAATTTAGGAGAGATTTTAAATGTTTTATTTCCTGAAATTTAGGAGAGATTTTAAATGTTTGATTTCCTGAAATTTAGGAGAGATTTTAAATGTTTTATTTCCTGAAATTTAGGAGAGATTTTAAATGTTTGATTTCCTGAAATTTAGGAGAGATTTTAAATGTTTGATTTCCTGAAATTTAGGAGAGACTTTAAATCAGGGGCGGAACTACCATACCGCCAGACCCCGCAATGCGGGGGGGGGGGGGGGGCCCAGGACGTTTAGGGGCCAAGTTCCGACCAAAAAACAATGAATTTTTTGTTCAAAAATTATGTTTTTCATGCATCTTGAAAGTGGTTTTGTAAAAAAAAAAAAAAAAAAAAAAAAAAAAAAAAAAAAAAAACAGGTCTACTATAGCAGAGATTGTTGCGTAGAAAAATATTTTAAAATCTACAAGAGCTATAGTTTGAAAGGTAGGTAAACATTCACACTACTTCCATGACTTACTGCCCTTCTTTAAAATAGGGATGCCCACGAAGCTCATTTAAATAGTTTTGTACTATGTACATTAAAAAGCAATTGAATCTCTGAATTGTTATTTAAATAAGACGTACTATACAATAGTATAGCTATAAAAATCAATGTTTTCAAAATTGATATTACAAAAGCCAAAAATGAAAAAAATAAACATAACGCGAGAAACCATTCACGAATCAAGTTAATGTCTTTATATATTTCTGACCAGCATGTTTGGAAACACTTATAACTCAAGAGGAGTTTGGACTAAATCAGGGGTCGGCAACCTGCGGCTCGCGAGCCGCATGCGGCTCTTTTGATGTCAAGTTGCGGCTCTTCTACTCCATGCACAAATATTAAAAACGAGCCGACCCGCTGCGTATCATACGCCGCTATTTAGTTGTTTTTTTTCTACTTTTCAGTAATTTATAATTTGTGAATTCGACAGTACCAATAATGCCACTGAAAAAATTTGCTTAAAAACACTAAACCCCCCTTCCCCCCCCCCCCCCCCACGTGAAAGCAGCCTCCTCTTAGTTACCTCCTCTAAGTTTAAAATCGTTTCAAACTAAATTATCTGCCCCTAATAGCCGTCACCAAACCCGTCTCTATGATTGTAAAATGTAAACAGCGTGAACCACAGCTCACCAGACAATGTGAGGGGGTGGGGGGGGGGGGGGTGGTAGCGATAGAGAGGAAGAGAGGGGACTGTAAGGCGCGCTTGCAGCTTGTTTTCTAAAGGCTCCCAGAAGAGAATTATATATATATAGATTATTTTATTTTTAATACTCATAAAAGTATTAGTCTGCAACACTCGGTAATGAACGATATAATAATAAATATAAACAATAAACACTATATTCTATTAGAATATTTAGATACTCCCTATTTCAATGTACTTCCTTGTTACCTTTTTTTCCCCTTGTTAATCCCTAGCTCGGATTAATCATCGAATGTCGTATTGCAGGGTGCTGCTTAAAACTAATGTAGGCGCTTAGTGCTCGCGGGATAGCCCTGGGCACCCTGCAGAGACTTAGGGCGCGCCTGATTCGATTCAGTGAGCGACTATAGCAACCCATTGAATTCATAGCCTATTGCGCTGTTCAAAATGAACGTATTGTTGCCCATCGTGTCTATAGTGTATAGCGGGTTTTTTTTTATTAAAAAAAAAGCGTAGGCGCCATGGTGCTCGCAGGTGAGCAAGGGACGCTTTTTGTCGCGCAAATTACGAGGCGCCGGCGGTTGTGCCTGTTGTAGTTTTGCCGCTAAATATAGTAGTACCCTTTACCCGCTGTGTAGAACGCCCGATTAACGGATGCCAAGTAATAACGTAGCCGCTCTGGAAATCAGAGCGCCAAAACGTGTATGGACAAAAATTCACCACCCGGGCGCCGCCCATAAGTATGTAGAGAAAAATCGCACCCTCTGAAATTTAAAGTATGATTTTTTTGCACCAACCTCTACTGTAGTGTTTTAATCAACTCCAATAAGTTTCATGATGATCGGATGAAGGGTGTGAATCCGCAATCGACTTCTATTTTTTATATACCGTATGTAGAGGAAAAACAAACCGCGTCGTGCCTGGGAATTTGAAAAACTGTTTTCGCAGAAACCTCCCAGGAGAATTCGCAACAACTTCCCAAAGTTTCATGGCGGTCGGATGAATTGGTGTAGTAATGCATAAAAGAAAAACAGACACACAAACACACATACATTGCTTAATATATATATATATATATATATATATATATATATATATATATATATATATATATATATATATATATATATATATATATATATATATACACCTAACCTAATATTGAAATAAAAATGTTGGCGGCTCTTTTAAGACTTGGAATTTGTGTAAATTGTAACTTTTGGCTCTTCCGTCTCAAAAGGTTGCCGACCCCTGGACTAAATGTTTTCTGTTTTTGTTATCTCAGAATGGTTATATATTGCAATGAAGTAGACTAAATTACTCAGCTAGGATATAGCTTATATATATATATATGTATATATATATATATATATATATATATATATATATATATATATATATATATATATATATATATATATATATATATATATATATATATAGGGGGGCCCTAGTTTTTTCTTTGCGGGGGAGCCTTTGATTTCTAGTTCCGCCACTGCTTTAAATGTTTGATTTCCTGAAATTTAGTGAGATAATTTAATTGTATTATTTCCTGAAATTTAGGAGTGACTTTAAATGTTTGATGTGTAAAGTGTAATGTTTCACCTACTAACAGCTTGCCTAGTGTAATGTTTCACCTGTTGTCTTGACTCACCTGTTCCTTCTTAAACAACAGCTGGTGATGGACCCTCAGTAAGTTCTCATAGTACATGGTGTAGCTGCAGATATAGATACAAAATGTAAACATCAAACAGAAGAGTTCCACACATGAGGACTAGTGCTAATGAGATCAATCTGCTCCATGTTTCATTAAAACAACTGTTGACATTCAAGCTGTGCCAAACCTTATAAAACCTTTATTTATATTAAGCACTTATCAAAGCTACTAGACATGAATAAAGCTTTTTCTTTTAACTACAAAAAAGAATGTCAGGCCCCAATAGAAATAAAATTGGGAAGCACCAGTCAAAAATGGTCGATAGATATTAATTTGTTCAACGTCTAAAAAAAAATCTGATATAAATATTTAGTTTTCTTCTCAGGCATTGTTTTGACTTTAAAAATGTAACAATAAAAACAATGCACCAAACTACCTTTCAAGATTGCAACATTTAAAAAACAATGCACCAAACTACCTTTCAAGATTGCAACATTTAAAAAACAATGCACCAAACTACCTTTCAAGATTGCAACATTTAAAAAACAATGCACCAAACTACCTTTCAAAATTGCAACATTAAAAAACAGTGCACCAATCTACCTTTCAAAATGCAACATTAAAAAACAGTGCACCAAACTACCTTTCAAAATTGCAACATTAAAAAACAGTGCACCAAACTACCTTTCAAAATTGCAACATTTTAAAAAATGCTTGAAACTACCTTTCAAAATTGTAACAAACAATGAATTAAACTACCTTTCAAAATTGTAAAAACAATGCACCAAACTACCTTTCAAAATTGTAAAAAACAATGCACCAAACTACCTTTCAAAATTGTAAAAAACAATGCACCAAACTACCTTTCAAAATTGTAAAAAACAATGCACCAAACTACCTTTCAAAATTGTAAAAAACAATGCACCAAACTACCTTTCAAAATTGTGTTTCTCTCTGGCCATGACATTGCGGGCCAGCTCAGCCAGGCAAGCATGCAAATGTTTGGTGTCAAAGGTCACCTTTGTCTCAGTTTCCTGACCTTGAGACATGAGGGTGTGCACAAATTTCTCCGCCACGTGTGGACGGTTCATGGTGAAACTCTCAGACATCACCTGGGGTAGAGGATCATTTGAACTCAATACATTGATTCTTACAACACATTCAACAATTTGATGCATCAATACGAACTAACAACAAAATAAGCAGATTATTATTTTGATTCAATTAATTATTCCAAAAAGAAAACTGCAAGATCAATAATTTTAAAATGATCACACAGAAAAAATTACAATTGATAAGACAAATGATTTTAAAATGATCACACAGAAGAGACCACAACTGATAAGACAAATGATTTTAAAATGATCACACAGAAGAGACCACAACTGATAAGATCAATGAATTTCAAATGATCACACAGAAGAGACCACAACTGATAAGACAAATGATTTTAAAATGATCACACAGAAGAGACCACAACTGATAAGATCAATGAATTTCAAATGATCACACAGAAGAGACCACAACTGATAAGACAAATGATTTTAAAATGATCACACAGAAGAGACCACAACTGATAAGATCAATGAATTTCAAATGATCACACAGAAGAGACTGACTGATCTTTTCCACAAATCTGTTGGCAGGACTTCCTCATCTCTGGCTCTCTCCGACACGGCCAAGGTCAACTCTTTGAACACTCTCTTCCTGACTTCACTGATCATGTGACACTCACAGCTCTCCAGCAGACGCAGCAGCTGTTTGTTTAAACAAATGACAGCTGTTTGATTACATTAAACAAAACCCCACTGTTAAAAAAAAACAGCAGTTTTATCACTGTAAACAAAAATTTCTGTTTTAAAACTAAATCAATTAAAGCTATTTTATCAAAGTAAACAGCCACTCAACATTGCCATACATAAACTAAAGAGAACAAAGATTTTTTAAAACTGTCTTTAGCCTCTCCATTCACTCTCTTCCACAGCTAATAGAAGTAAGAAATTTTGTTTGTATGTGAACCTGTTTCTTATAGGTCATTAACCAACTCATCCATTTAAAAAACCAAGTAAATCTATTTTAGAAACAAATCTCCACATTATCCCAATGTAAAACAATTGTCTTACTTGCTTGAGCCTAACTTCGATTTCAGAGGCTCCCTTAGGCATGACATAGATGTCAGTGTCAAGAATGAGGCTGTCATACAGGTCACCCTGACCCAGCCTCCGAGCCACACTCTGTAGGACTGGCAACAGCACCTCAGTTCTATAAGCCTTGCTGTCAACAGAGGTAAACAGAATCTGTAACATTTATTATAAGAAAAAGTAAAATATGGTGAAATGTTTCACCATACTAGAAAACTTTTTTAAATTAAAATGTGATGAAATGGTTCACCTTACCAGAAGACTATTTTTTTAAAAGTAAAATTATGATGAAATGGTCTACCATACCAGAACTCCTTGTGGAGCTGAGATGTATCAATCCTCTCCACCATCAGCTTCCTCCTCCCCCAATCCAGTTTCAGCATTTCAAGACACTTCCAGAGTCTCAGGAAGAAGTGGAGGAGTCTGTATGACTCCAAGGGCTGCGTCACTCTGGACAGACTCTGGTGCTGTTGAGCTGCTACTAAAACATCAACAGTTTATTTTACTGCATTTATTTTTGCAGTTTCTATACTAAGATTTAAATGGAAGAGGAACATTGAGGTAAACAAGTTTAAGTAACGGGGCAGAGAACCCCAACAACACAAGTCATTGTTGTTTTGTTGACTATATTTAAGGGACTTTACTGGTGCAACAAAATATTAAGACAATATAAAAACACGGTGTAAGAGAGATAATTCATTTAATACAGCATGAATATTAGAATATGTAGTAGCTTCCCTTGAAACTGGTTTAACAAGAAAGACAATCCATGAAAAAAACAGTGGTGATACAAAAATATTGTTGCTTCCCATGAACACTTTATAAGAGAGACAACCGATTAAATTAAATTTGAATGAAGTAAATCATGGTCACTTCCCTTGAACACTTGTAAGAAAGGTAATTCATTAATTTAAAATAGGTTATGTCAAAACACAGTAGTTCCCCTTGAACTAAACGATTGTTAAAAAAATAACTTTTCTTATAAAATATGATTGAAACAGCAGCGTAAAAATCCTACCAAGAACTTTGCTGGCATCTCTGAGATCAGATAAAACGCTCTCACGTCTGATGGTCGATTCAACGGATTCATTTCTTGACTCCACCTGACTGTGACTCTTTGAATCATTGTCTAGTAAACTAACGCCAGAGTTGCCAGTTTGAAGCACATCTTCCATGAGCAACGTCACACCCAGAATTTCACCATTGGCCACTTGCCTAAAACGTAATTATTTAATACGAGTGTTTTTTTTAAAGCAATAACTTTACAATTTTCATTAGATTAACTAATTTTATTCATTCTTACAACAGCTACAAATTTTAAATCTTACTTTGAAGAATTGCTTTAAAAAAAAGATATTCCAACCTGTCAACATCTTTGAGCCCAGCCAAACACTGGATGATAAAATTTTCTATCCTGAACCACTGCCAAAACCCTACAGGAAAAGGGCCAAAACTGTGCCCAAAGAATGTTGGGTGTTAAAATAAAGATCATTTAAAAGTTACTAAACTTGCTACATCAAGTAAATGAAGCATGTAACATCATTTTAAAAAAATTAAACTAAAATAATTAAAAACCCATTTTAAATCAAAGTTACCGATTGTGAAAAGATCTCCAAGGAAACAGTTGTCTGGCAACAAAGTCTCTGGCTTCAAGAGGCTCTGGTATACTCAGGTACATTGAAGACAGGCCAGGTTTTTCTGCATTGCTAATCCAGGTAAGGTACTGGCGACTGTTGAGTATAATCTAATGCACACCAAAAAAAGAGAAAATTTATATTTAATCAGGTAAAAAAATCTGAAATCTGAAGCCTGGCATATGTTACCTTATAAGCCTGACATGTTACCTTATAAGCCTGGCATATGTTACCTTATAAGCCTGGCATATGTTACCTTATAAGCCTGGCATATGTTACCTTATAAGCCTGGCATACGTTACCTTATAAGCCTGGCATATGTTACCTTATAAGCCTGGCATACGTTACCTTATAAGCCTGGCATATGTTACCTTATAAGCCTGGCATATGTTACCTTATAAGCCTGGCATACGTTACCTTATAAGCCTGGCATATGTTACCTTATAAGCCTGGCATATGTTACCTGATAAGCCTGGCATATGTTACCTTATAAGCCTGGCATATGTTACCTTATAAGCCTGGCATATGTTACCTTATAAGCCTGGCATACGTTACCTTATAAGCCTGGCATATGTTACCTTATAAGCCTGGGTGTTCCCAGTGGAGAGGAACGTGTCGGCCATGCATGTCCTGATGGCCATGTCCAGTTCCAGGAACATGACGTTGCGCCTCAAGTTGAGAAGTTCCAGAACGTCTTCTGGGTGAGTTGGCTCTGGCAAGTTCTGAATCTGCTTCTGTATGTCTCGCAATTCAGTTCCTGCAACACAGAATATAAAAGTTCATTGAGAAGTCTTTCATCATTATAACTGAGATATCATGGGTTGAGTCCTAAATTCAACAAAGTTACAGTGAAGTACCTAGTATGGTGCACAGAAAGTAGTGTGTGCAGGGCAGTAAACAATAGAATAATTTAAAGAGGTGAATAGCCCCTTAACACTAGACAATAGAATTAATCACTTTAATTATATTATGTCATAGTGTGGTCAGCACTGTGCCCATCTATCTTCCCAAATTCATTGGTGACATCAGCTCTATGTCCAGCTCCCTTTACCTTCCCCAATTCGTGCCAGGTATACATTATGCCTGAATGGCCTCAGGGACATTATTCACAACACTTGACCAAACTTTTGTGTTAACAGTCATGTGCTCTACAACCAAACCTGGCCATCTTATAAAATATAGTACAGAGGCAAAAATTCCCATAAAATACAGTAAAAAAGCAAAAATTCACATTAAATGCAGTAAGGTGTGAAAATCCCACAAAATACCATAATGTACAGTAATGTGCAAATATTCATAAAATACAGTAATGTGTAAATATTCATAACATACAGTAATGTGTAAATATTCATAAAATACAGCAATGTGTAAATATCCCATAAAATAAAAAAAAAACATGTAAATATCCTGAAAAATGACAATAACTGGTAAAGATCCTAAAAATTACAGTAAAATGTAAACAGCTAACCTATGCCCTCTGTGCCGCCCCAATCAGCAGAAACAAAATCTATTTTCTGCGTGCCCATCCTGGCGTGTGATGTGCCAAGGTGAGCGTGAGCACTCAAGTACTGCAGCATGTCATGCAGGGCAGATACGATGCCCAGAGAAAAGTTGAGGGCCCGCAAGCAGGCGTCGTCGTCCAGTGACTTGAACATCACCAGTACCTCCGTGTAGTGGGGGATGAACCAGATGTTGACCACACACCGCCCATCGTTTGATAACAGGCGCCGTGGTCTTTTCTTTAACATCCTGGGGAGTATTTTATTTTATCCAGACTTCATTGGATGTGACAAAAAGAATTTTATGACTTCCTAATTCATGTAATTTTATATAGGCGAGCAAAAAAATGAATGAATGAACATGAGTTTGCCATCAAGATAAACAAAAAAAAAGGAACAAAATATTTTGATAGGGAAAATAAATCAATAAACAAAATTTTAAGGTCAAGGTTGTACCTTGGGTCAGGTCGTAGTTCCTCTTCATCTTCAGCTGCCTTTTTCTCATTGGCTTCACCAAGCACAAAGTAGGTCTCTCTGAAATTATCACACACCAATTACTGCTGGGTACTGCTTAAATCATCAATCATTTGATAATTAATTAGTGAAATACGGAATTCAAGAAAATTATTGAAAAATTATTCAAAAATGTTGTTTTTTTACTTTCATATGATGCTAGGGAATGAAATTTTAATTTTAGTTGTTGCTAGGGGAACACATTTTTAAAAACAATGGTTGCTGGGAATTTTTTTTTTACATTTAATGGTTGCTAGTGAAAAAAGTTTTACATTCACCTGATGCTAGGGAAAGCCTCCAGCAGACGCATGATGCTGTTATAGTAGGCCAAGAGCTGACTTCTGAGAGAGGCCTGGGACACCCTGGCATTGAACCTGTGGCAGAACTCTGAGATTAGTTTCCTTTTCAGCTTCTCCAGCTCTTCAGAATTGCGCAGGATGTTTCCCATCTGCTGTTTCTTCATCACAAAATCATTTAGCATGAGATCTCTGCTTGGGACCTGCCAAATAAAATTTCATCACAAAATCATTTAACATGAGATCTCTGCTTGGGACCTGCCAAATAAAATTTCATCACAAAATTATTTCACATGAGATTTCTGCTTGGGACCTGTCAAACAAAATTTCATCACAAAATCATTTCATATGAGATTTCTACTTGGGACCTGTACAATAAAATTTCATCACAAAATTATTTCACATGAGACTTTTTCTTGGAACCTACCAGAGACAATTCACATAAATAATAATAATATATTAAAATAATAAACTTTTATGTACATATTAATTAACATGTTGAAACATTTCCACCCGACTTAAAAATCATACATCTGGCAACAATATCTTCAACCTCCATGATATATTAAAATAATAAAAAAAATTTGCTATGTTCCAACCTTCTCTAGTTGAAGGGAGAAGAAAGCTTCAGCTGATGTTGGAGTTTTGTTGGTGTCAGTTGAGATGACCCCAGCCAATGCTGGACCTGTGGTTCCACTTGAGGTGCTGGTCATTTGTGTGATGGAGCTCTTCTCACTTTTTGTTTCTGTTGGACTCATACGACCACTACAAACAAACCATTAACCCTTTTAGAGTTATAAAAAAATGACAAATAGCATGAATGAAAAACAGAAGATAAATAATAATGATTTTCCAATTCAGTGACAACAGAAACAAAAGAAGAAGAAACAGAATATGATATAAATAATTAAAAAATAATAGCAATAAATAAAAAATAATAAAAATTGTAGCCGAAAAATGATTCTAATCCACCTTTTCCACTCAATGACTTTGACAGGATTGCATACACTGGCTTGTTGAACAGCTGCAACTAAGGCATTCTTATGAACTACCTGAGCTTGGAGAACCACTTGAAAACTTTCCATTCCTCCTGGCTTCATCACCTGGTATCAACACGGTCAAGGAAAGTGTTGAGGTCAAGGGCATTGTCAAGGTCAAGGAAAGTGACAATTTTCAAATAGCAACAGCACAACAAATTAACTTCACATCATTAGTAAAAAAAAAAAAAATGTTTCCCCAAAATTTAATCAGTCAATTTTATCTTCACTGCTACTGGAATGAGGAATGAGAAAAAAAAATTGTTCATACGCAAAAAAAACCCAAAAAAACCATTGGTACCACTAGATCTAGTAAGTTTCATCATTACTAAATAATTGATGCATTTTTTCAATTGGGATATTACTTTATACTTCTGAACTTCCTAAATATAGCCTACATTATATTAAATTAACCAGCCTAACCTGTAGCAGACCATCTCGACTGCGAAATGTGAATCTTCCAACATGGCTCTCATCTAGTTCATGGACGGCCAGAATCAGACATGATGGCGTGTACCTAAGACAGCCAGGTGTTAAATGTTTTAAAAAATACACATTAAATGGATGGCCAGAATCAGACATGATGGCGTGTACCTAAGACAGCCAGGTGTTAAATGTTTTAAAAAATACACATTAAATGGATGGCCAGAATCAGACATGATGGCGTGTACCTAAGACAGCCAGGTGTTAAATGTTTTAAAAAATACACATTAAATGGATGGCCAGAATCAGACATGATGGCGTGTACCTAAGACAGCCAGGTGTTAAATGTTTTAAAAAATACACATTAAATGGATGGCCAGAATCAGACATGATGGCGTGTACCTAAGATGGCCAGGTGTTAAATGTTTTAAAAAATACACATTAAATGGACGGCCAGAATCAGACATGATGGCGTGTACCTAAGATGGCCATGGGTCAAATGTTTTTAAAAAAACACATTAAATGGATGCCAAGAATCAGACATGATGGCGTGTACCTAAGATGGCCATGGGTCAAATGTTTTCAAAAATACACATTAAATGGATGCCAAGAATCAGACATGATGGCGTGTACCTAAGATGGCCATGGGTCAAATGTTTTCAAAAATACACATTAAATGGACTGCCGAAACCAACATGACACAGAGTAGGCAACTTGAGATGGTCATGGCTAATCTTAACATTATTCAGCTACAAGAACCTTTTGATAAATTTTCTATTTATTACTTAAAAGCTATTTTAATATGATTTTTTATAGGTTTTGTTTACATTGCATGTTTTTAAAATTTTGGCTTGTTAATAAAGAAGTCTAAACAGAACTCTAGATTCAACCAAAACAATAAAAAAAACAATTATTCATCAGTCAGAAAACCAGTGTTTCATCCAGACTTTTTTCTTTGAGGGGGCAGACAACTGTAAAAGTATGTTTTCTATATAAATTTCATGTCAAAGAAATGCCTGGAAGAAACTCTGCAGAAAACGAGGACCAAACCTACTTATCTACAGCCGAGTCATCTTCCTGTACTGATGTTATAAAAATGGGCGGCGGCTTCCCAGCTTTCTCCTTAAAACTGGCAAACTCAAACTGGACAAATCTCAGGTTCATGTGGCAATCAGGGTAGCCCATTTCTTGTGCTTGATGTTTATAGATCTGTCCAAAGGTTTATTTAGAGTAGCACATTTCTAGTTATGATTAAACATACTTAAAATTATTTTATAGTAGGCTAGTATTGCAACAATGAACTCACATTTAAAGGATGTTAAAACTAAACTATTGGAATTAATTCTTTAAAGACACAAAAAATAGTAATATATGACTGTAAAAGCCAAAATATCAGGGAGAAAAACCTAAAGTTTTTTTTAAGCATTACAATGAGCAATAATAAAATAGATGACCCCCTCCCTCCTTAAAAAAAGGAAAATGTTATTTAAGTTTATGAAATGTTTAAAATATAAAACATAAAAAATGGACAGGCCAAAATTCTAATGTCCATCAGCTGTACCTTAGACAAGACTTCAGTTTCCCAGGCAGCCTCAAGCATCCTGTGACGAAGTGTGACAATCTGAAACAAGGAAATTCTGGAACTGTAAGTTCTACAGAACTGTCTAGACATCAGGTCTCAAACGGTGTGTAGTTTCTTATTGGGATTCTATGTGTATACAATTACTATATGTAGTGAATCCATTGAACCAAGAACAAACAAGAGTGAGAGAGAAGACTAGACACTCATGGCTCACCTCCATAACACGGCCTATAGTTTGGACCATGGCTGTTTGTTTCTCCTTGTGAGTTTTTCTCCCACTGGCCTCCTCCTGTTGTTTGACAGAGAACTGGGCCAGTTCACACATAAATAGAGGGTCCTCACAGAACACTGGGGAGAAGAGCTGAAGCACACGGGAGAACAGTTAAAATATTGGGGAGAATAGTTGAAACACAGGGGAGAACAGTTGAAATATAGGGGAGAACAGTTGAAATATGGGGAGAATAGCTGAAACACAGAACACAGCTAAGCAGATGAAACACAGAACACAGAGAAGAGCTGAAACACAGGGGAGAACAGCTGAAACATAGGGGAGAAGAGATGAAACAGAACACAGGAGGGCAGATGAAATACAGAACTCTGGGGAGAAAAGCTGTAACACAGAGGAGAACATGAAACACAGAACACATGGGAGAAACAGAACAAAAGGGGAGGACATACAAAAAGGATAAGTTTCTTGGACACATGCCCTGTCTTGGGGTATTTCAGTAGCAGAATAAGTTCCTTACATCTTTCTGTACTTGCATGGAGTAACTGTCTCCCATGGGAGGCAACTGTTCCCACTCCTCTAAAGCCACCTCTATCAGTTTTTTCTCCATCATTAGAGATGCCAGCATGGTCTGTGGCCTGTGGACTTCAATAAGGTCCTGGGGAACCAGCAGAAACATTTTGGAAAAGTAGGTCCAAAATCTTACAAAATGATACATTTTATACTGTCATTTTTTATCAAAGTAAACAAACAGTTGTTTGTATATTACATTTTTTTTTGCTATTGGAGTTGATCATGCAGTTTAAAAAAAGTAATTACCCAGAATGCATGCTTTAGGGCTGCAGGGATTCTACTGGCCAGCGCCAGAGTTGGGTGGAACTCTAACATGTAGATGTTCTTCAGGGCTGGGCTGTCAGAATATTTAAATCTTTTCATATTTTTATTCTTCTAGATAATTACTTAATTAACAAGAGCTGGATTGTGATGATATTTAAATCTTTATGTTAATTAATTTACAATGGCTGGGCTGTCATAATATTACAATCTTTTCATATTTTTATTCTTCTAGATAATTAATTAATTTACAAGGGCTGGATTGTGAGAGTATTTAAATATTTTTGTTCTTTTCGATAATTAATTAATTCATTAACAAGTGGTGGGTTGTGTGGATATTTAAAACTTTTTGTTCTTCAAGATAATTAATTAATTAACAAATTAATGCTGGGTTATGAGAATATTTAAATCTTTTCACTGTCCAAGTCAATAAATTAATTTAAATTTTAAAAATTAGTAAACATTATGTGTACATGTAACCAACTAAAAAGAATCAATATGATAATTTAAGTGTTAAAAATGTGTTTTTAATGTTAGGCCTTTACTATCACCAACCTCAAAGTTGAGTGGCTTAAAAAAACTATAACAAACATAAGGTTTATAAAAACAGAAATGAATAACCAACCGACTGAGATTTACTGCAATAGGCTGTTGGGGAATAATTCTGTGAGGAAGTCCAAAGTCAGAGTCCCCGTCTCTGGTCACCCTCTGGATGTACTCCCTCTCAGACTCGATCTGCTTATCCAGGACAGCTTTCACGAGGGCTGCGTGCTGCCTCAGGACTGAGCACTCAGCTCGGTACATCCTCACAAAGTAGTCCGCCTCCAGGTCGTAGCGCGGCTTCTGGTGAATTAGGTTGGTGATCACCTGGGCCAGTCTCCTCTTCTCATCTCTGTCAACCACATGTTGGTAAGCTTCATAGTAGCAGTCAAGTAGCTGAAAAAGTAGTTCCGTAGTAGCAGTTAAGTTGCTGAAAAAGTAGTTCCATAGTAGCAGGCAAGTAGCTGAAAAAGTAGTTCCATAGTAGCAGGCAAGTAGCTGATAAGTAGTTCTATAGTTGCAGTTAAGTTGCTGAAAAAGTAGTTCCATAGTAGCAGTCAAGTTATTGAAAAAGTAGTTCCATAGTAGCAGTCAAGTAGCTGAAAAAGTAGTTCCATAGTAGCAGTCAAGTAGCTGAAAAAGTAGTTCCATAGTAGCAGTCAAGTAGCTGAAAAAGTAGTTCCATAGTAGCAGTCAAGTCCCTGAAAAAGCAGTTCCATAGTTGAACTCACCTGGGGGTAATTTTAAATAGGCTGGCATTCAACAATCTAGAAGTACACGCTACTACAAGTAAAAAGAAAATATAACCTAAGTGGGAGATATTTTTTTTGGGTTACCTCTCGTTTACACTCTAGGAAAGACGTGTGATTGGTCCAGATGTCCAGCATGACCCCAAACCTGTCCACGTCCTGATGACTGTAGCCAGGGATGTCAAAGTCTCCAGCCTGGTCAATACACAGAAAACTTTTCAGCTCAGTCAACATCTATACTTTCTTTTTTATTTAATTTCCATTAAAAATTAAATCAACTGACCGCCAGCACTAATCACCCTCACACTGACTACCATGACTAATTATCCCTGTATGTACCACCCACATTAACAACCACCAAGACAAACCGCCAGTGCTGATAACCCTCACACTGATAACCCATACAAACTATAACCACAGTGACCATCCCCACACTGACCTACCTCACAAATAACCCACACACTGACCACCCCCAAAAATGACCTCAAGGACTTAAGTACCCTAAAATTGACCCACACAAACAACCCCCACAGAGGTGACATGGACTAATTACCCCAATATTTCTTGAACTACTCCTCAGGTCTCTGTCCTTCTCAATGTAGTGGCTACACATCAGCATCAGATCTTTCTCAACTTTCCTAAATAGATCAACACACTACTAGTTAACTAAAAACTGGTGTAAAGAACAATCAACTATAAATATATAGAACAGAACAATATTTTACTTATTTTATGAATAATTTTATGCATAGGTTTTAAAATCTCCTATCAATCTATAACTAAGTTAAGTTTTAGTTACTAAAAATCAGTTAAGAACCTAGTTAAATAACTGTAATAATGACTTGAACTATTGACACTCATTAGAATATGTGAAGATTTGGGAAACTGTAGAAATAAGAGTGTGTACAAAAAGTTAAGATTTTAAAAATTAGAAGTAAATTAGATTACCTTAGATCCTCAATAGCTATGTCATACATGATATCATTTCCTTTCTGATCAAACACATGGATTCTGCCTTCTTCAATGGTATAGAAATCATCATGATTGTCAACATCAGAAAAATGTATAAATTCCGATTCTGTCATTCTGAAAAAAAAAGTTTTATTGAATTTGATGCATTTATAAATGGTTAAGTTTTTAAAAGTGTTTAAACATTTATGAACATTAAAATAAAGATAAAGGTCAAATATTGATGAAGTTTAAATTAAATTTAAAATCTTAACATATTTATTAAGATATATGTATATATGATGATTTAAGAGCACACAAAACAAGGTTGGTTTTGGGTACCAGGAAATGATCAAAATAATTTACTTAAAATCTGCAGGTGTGTTGTGCAGGTAGGCATGGGATCCAAGGCCTCCCCCACCCCCAATGTTACCATTTAACTCACTCCCAACACGATGGTTTTGTTGGCTGAGGGAAAAGCAAAAATAATTAAAACATTAATTTACTTTATCAGTGTTAGTACTGGCATTGAAATTTGTCTTACACTTGATACGTTAAGTGAGATAAGTTTCTCAAAAAGTTTAATTAAATTAAATGATGAACTGAAGAAGTGAAGAAACCTGGTTTGTTTGAAGAGTCCATCATCTGAGGTAAGTCCCATATCATTGATGGTCAGAGTTCTCTCAATGGAGCGGAAGTAATTGAGTAAAGATAAACTCTGAAGATACAATCATTTACATTTGTTTATCTATCCTAACATCAGAATGATAAACTTTGTTGATACAAGTATTTACAAAACATATCAACCTGTAAGAAGTTTAAGTAATGCAGTAAAAATGAACTCCAAAGATACAATCATTTACATTTGTTTATCAATCCTAACATCAGAATTATAAACTATGTCAATACAAGTATTTACAAAGCATCTAGCCTTTAAGTTACACAATAAAGATAAATTCTGAAGCTACAATCATTTACATTTTTAAAAATCTATCCTTACTTTAGAAAGATAACTATGTAGATACATGTATTTACAAAACAAATTAACCTTTAAGCAATTCAGTAAAGATAAACATAATAATCATATCAATCCTTTACACTCTTAAAGATATTGCTAATATTTGTAGCACTGAAGACAAAAAAAAATCTAATACAACAAATCAGAATACAGAGACCAGAAATAACAACAGAGTTAACTAACAGAGACCACAAATAACAAGAGCGTTAACTAACAGAGACCAGAAATAACAACAGAGTTAACTAACAGAGACCACAAATAACAAGAGAGTTAACTAACAGAGACCACAAATAACAACAGAGTTAACTAACTGTTCTCTGGAGGTCCCTGATACGCAGGTGTCTCAGGTGCAAGTAGGACAAAAATGCCCCTTGGGCTGTCATGGGATCAGCTGTTTCTTCTTCACCTTCATCCAGGCCTGTTAAAATTGTGAACTTTATAAATAAACTGTGATTTTTTTTCAAAAACATTTAACATTAATGTTGATAGCTTCAGCTTTGGGATAGACATTGTAGGAGTGGTTATTATTACTTTATTCCACACTTACTGTAGCTTAGGGGAGATAATTTTAAAATTTGGTTATTTGCTTAACTGTACAGGTGTCAGCAGTAAAGAAACTAAAAACCAACACAACATTAGACATTAGACAGTATAAGAGCAGCCATTATTAGCTTGTTCAATATCAAATGTTGTTGAGGGGAGATAATTTTAAATTTTAAATTTGTTGAAATGTACAGTAGTCAGCAGTAAAGAAACAAAAGTACCCACCTAACATCTGGGCTGTGCTGCCATAGTCATAACTGTCTTTCCTCTTCTGGGCACTGCTGCGCCCACTGTGGACAGCACTTAAACTAAAGTTGTCAGCATCTTTTTCATCAAAGTCTGGAACACTATGGGGTTCATCTTGATCTGTGCTGTAAAAATGTTAATTTTTAAACAACTACAAATCAGATTCTATCAACATTATGTAAAAAACATAATTTGGTTTTAGGGTTAATTATTTCTAGCTTAAATAAAATAAATGGTTTTCATAAAGGTTGGTTTTTACAAAAAACAGTAACTTTTCACTAGAAACTCTACTATATTAAGCTGGTGAATTGGGTCATCCATAATTGATATTTTGACATTTTTTTTATCTGTAGCCCTCCTCAAATTCACCAAAAGTCAGACCATGCCCCTTCTAAATTAATGTCATGCTTTGACACACTTTAGCTTAACCTCCCACGCCCAATTAATTTTTTTAACAGATTTCTTAACTCAAATACAAAATATTTTTCAAAATTTACTTGTGGTAAAGGTCAGGGTTAGAGTAAATCTTTCTCCAAATGTTGCTGGTGTTGTATGTTGTGCGATGGGAGGTAACTGAAGCTGAAGCTGCTGTGTGGGGGTTCCTGACATGAGTTGCATGTTGTTTCAAGGTCTCCTGGACATTCTGTTTTGTATGGAATACCACAGAAATCATTTTAGTTAAATTACAAAGAAAAGTAGGCAAGAATAATTTCAGAATTAGGTTTTATTGTTTGTGATGAATAACATTAAATGCTTTTAACTTTTTATAATGAGAAACACTTCAAAAATAGATTAGAGATTACATAGATTTTTTTTAAAGATTATAAAAAAAAGTTAATTCAAATGCAAAATACTAAAAAACACCATAACACTATGAACTACAAAAAACAATTTGAATAGAAAACTCTTAAACCAAATGTGTTGATGTATTAACTAAAGATCAGAGCTGCTAACATGAATAAACTGTGCTTAACTGTTATATCAAAAAGTGTTAATTTGAACAAGTTAACTTACGTCATAGCTACGAACATGAAAAAAATTAGCTTTACTTTTGTATAAAAAAGTGATAAACTGAACAAGTTAACTTACATCATAGATACTAACACGAATAAACTGTGCTTTACTGTTATATCAAAAATGTTAAAATCAACAAAGTTAACTTACATCACAGCTGCTGACGTGAATAAAATGTGATTTCACTCTCAGCAGCTCATCTGTGTTTTTCAGCTGCACCCACAGTTTTGCTTGCTGGGGATCCTCCTCTGGTACTAATGTAATAAACTGAACCCAATTGGCTTCTTTCTTTAGCATGTGATGATTGTACATATCAGAACCATCTTGCCCAGGCTGTGTTCATTGAACAAATTTTATTTTAAACTTTGGTAAAAAAGATTTTTTTAAATGTAAGCTTTATTTATTCCAACAATGAAAGTCAGAATAATCAAGTGAAAGACTGGGTTACCTCAAGCCTGTCATAGGTTTTAAATGTATTCAGCTGCTCTTGTTTGATGAAAATGTGTTTAAATCTCTGGTTAACTACACCAAACATCTCCATTTCATCTGCACTGTTGTGGACACGATTCAAGTCCTGGAAGTAGAAAATAGATAAATTAATCAGGAGTCTTTAACTACATAAGAATCATTCAACAATCTTTTAAATTAGACCAGAGTTTCCAACTTTGTGAGAGCTAACATATAAAAAAAATTTTAAAAAATTATAAATAGACAAAATGTTTTTGTAAACAAATTATAATAATAGGGATACCATATTTCCTGATAATGAAAAAAAAGTGATCAAAAAATAATTTGCTTTCTAATTTAATGGAAAAGAAATTATTTTGGTATTTGTTTTATTTTATATTATTTTAATATACTCTACTTAAATGGTGAAACTTACAAAATTGATGCCATATACATTGATAAAGAAAGCTAACTGTGGCCTGAAGGTGTCAAAGTTCATTGAGTGCACAGGAAGGGACAACAAGTTCTCATCTGACACAAGTCCTCCTCCTGAACAAACAAAAGTTGCAAGAGTTGGTTAACATCATTCATTCTTATTCCCCCCCCCCCCCCAACACATGTACAAGCAGGCTACAAGGATTGTCTGAATCTTTCAGTTATCCTCACATTTCCATATCCAACAAAGAAAGGTAAAGTTAACCTATCATACCTGGCAGTCATTAAGGCAGATGAAGTAGAGTTTGTGTGATCTCAGCATATGAAGGGATGGTGTGGTCAGTTCTATACCCAGCCACCTTTACTCTACCTAATGTGAGTCAGGTACCAACAAGAGCTGGGTGGGCTCAGGGACGTCTGTCAATATTTTTTTTGTTAGCAGTCATGTGCACTATGGTCCTACAACATATCCCATCATATCCAACCTGTCCAGGGACACAATTAGTGTATATCAATTACCTGAGGCAGCAGCCGCGTATTGCATGGCCATCACAGGCAGTGGGGTGGTTGACATCAGAGCTGGGTTGATGGGGGGAGGGGATGGAATGGGGGAGGCAACACTGTGCCCAGATTTGGAAGATGCTGGTCTGGGGCTTCCAATTAAAATATTGGCAAACATATCATCCTGGTATCTGGCAGCAATCTTTGATGCATGGGATGGCTCCTCGTCCTAGACAAATAACACTTTTAATAAAAACTACACACAAAAAACAATGGATTAAAAAACATGAGATAATTTTCATTAAAAATTAAAATGACCCTTTTAATATGTGGACATGATTACTTTTTAGATTGAACTTAAAGATTAAATTTAGACTATATATAAACTATTATATAAGCATTATATTCTATCGTGTTTACTACATGAGTCTACACTACCAAGCAGCTTGTATTTAGCAACAAGACCAGCCTCAAGAGATTATCCCAAACAAACAATAAATGCTAGTCAAATAACACTTTGATGTAAAGCAGAAATTTTGGTAACTTACAGACTCAAGCCCATTAGCAATAAGATTCATCAATACATTTTTAAATGTGAAAGATTAAATCAATAAATTATTTCTGTTTGGCAAATGTTGTTGAAGTGAATGTTTTAGAATCAATTTTTTAATAGGAAATATGAACTGTTTTTTTTTTGTGGGACGGAGTGGTCTAGCGGTAGAGAGCTGGACTGCTAACCCGTAAGTCTCGAGTTCGAATCCGGGTTCAAGTCAGTAGACCGTCCCTGAGTCCACCCAACTCAGATGGGTACCTAACTCACGTTAGGGAAAGTAAAGGCGGCTGGGCATAGTGCTGACCACACTATCTCTTCATATGCCGAGGTCACAGAAACAAGTGAACTCTACTTCACTTGCCCCATAGACCGTCAGGTTTGAAAGGGAAACTTTACTTTACTATGAACTGTTTTTACTGAATCTAATTGACCTTGCTAATTAACACTAATTGAGCTCTTTTTCCTGCTCACCTTCTCTACTGCATCAGGGTCAGGTGGGGAGACTTTGGTTTTGTGACTGATGGGCAGCCATTGTAGAACCTGGAACACATTGAAAAACAATCAAGTGTACACCAATTGCATGACTGATAATATGATGTTGTTATACTTTAAAGCTGGAATATCATCATATTGAGTCACAGGAAAAGCCTTATTTCATTAATCAGTTATTATCTATGTTGTTAAAATAACTTTACTAATATGATAACAAATTTAAACAAGGTAAATAAAAACATAATAAAAAAAAATATTATTAAAAAAACCTACTAAAATATTATAAAAGTTTTGTAGTTGAAAGCATTAACTTTAAACTTAGACACTGAAGAGTCTGTATGAGAAGGGAGATAACTCACCTTCAAGTACTGGTTAAACTTTTTCATGGAGTGCAAGTGGCAGACAAGCCACCTGAGATAAATGAGGAGATCCTCCATGTTTAGTGAGGAGACACCCGACTCTGGGTGGTCTAAAAATAGCGCCTCCCTGGCACTGGACAGTCTGTGAGCTCTCTGGACACAATCTTTGTACTCACTCAACAGCTGCCTGGGGGAAATAAGGCTAAGTTTGCTCCTTATTGTTTTATGGTTCAAGGTTGTTCCTTATTGCTTTATGGTTCGGAGAACTGGAGGGTTACCAAAACAAATACAGAGGGGCTACAGTTGTTGACAAACAGATGTTTATGACAGATCCTCAAGATAAGATGGCCAGACAAAATATCAAGAAAAGACTTGTGGCAAAACACAAAAAAAACACAAAACAACAGCCAATGGATGTGGATATATTAAGGCCCGCAAATGGGGATGGATAGGGCATTACCCTGATAAGGAAAGAAGATATATTGTGAGAAAAGCATTAGACTGGAATCCCCAGGTGAAGAGGAAACTAGCCTGGCCAAGGAAATCCTGGGGGAGGACAGTAGAAGATGAGGCAAGGGCTGCCGGGCTTAAGTTGTCCTTAAGTGGGCGTAAACAAAGAGAGCCAATCAAAACCAAGTCAGATGGAGAGGTGTGGCTTCAGCCCTTTGTTTATCAGGGGCCTGTAAGGAATGAGTGAAGTTGTTATTTCTTATCTTGTTGGTGTTATATAAAGGCTAGACTCATTAAACAATGGCCTGAGGAAAATTAAGTTAAGGCTGTCCCTTCTCATGTGAGGTGTTTTATGAAGACAGATGAAATTAAATGTGTTTTTGTGGCTACAGGAAACGATACAAACAAGCACCCAGCAATAACTCTGTAATTCCCCCAACAGTAGACAAGTATTAAATCTGGCAGAGTAGAGTCATTCTAGAAATGCTATTACATCGAGTTACAAGAAAATAAATTGCACTATATAAATCCAAGTTAGTAGCTAGTCTATAAACATTTAATGGCTTAAGATAGAGACCTAAGATTAAAAGACATAGTCTTACGTCAAGCGCTGGCTATACACTGGGTACAGACTTTCAATAGTTTTTGTATGCTCACAAAATCTTTTCCATCGCAGCATATGTTGATGTTTCAAGTGGAGCAGATGTTGGATTCTTTCAATGAAGTACTAGATGAGATAAAATATATTTTATAACAGAAAAAATGATTAGTTTGATCGTTAATTTAAAAAACGCTATTTGACAAAAAATAATAACAACCACTAAATCTAAATTGTATTCTTTTTCAGTTTAAATTATTTTTTTATAATTTAAGATCAACCTGGTTTTTTTTTAAATATTAAATAATAGATATTTTCTAAACAAAAGTTATTAAAATAAATTTTTTTTTTAGAAATGTTATTGTTTAATGACAGAATAAATATATATTGCTAAATAATGCTGTCAAACTTCTTTTATTCTTTACCTGATGAATAAGTAGGGGGAGACTGCCGGTTGTGTATTCCTTTTGGTCTGAAATGTCCATTTCAATTCTCATCTCTTCAGCCTGAACACGAACTGGCTGAGCTTCATTCACCTTAGGAAACAAAATTTTTAACACAGCTGCTGAACAGTGTGAATAGTTCAATTATTTTCTCAGTATTGCAATAATCATTAGAAACAAAGAATACATATTTTGATTTGTTCTTGATTCTGTGTTTGAGAATGTTTACTAATTTACCATCTTAAGAAACACTATTTTAAACAATATATAAGCCTACCAGTTGTCACAATTTGTTCTTAAAAAAAATTTACTTTATCTGATTCTTGTTGAGATCACTTACCTCCAGCAGTCTTTTAATAACAAACTTCCTCTCCTGCTTAAAATGTTCTTTGTTTTCTGGTATGGGAACAGAGCTGAAATATCAGTTTATAATTAATAATCTAATTAAGTTCCATGTTTCAAGTTATTTTAACCACCAATCAGATTATATATTTTATAGAATTCCATCAAGTTTAGGTTGTTAATTTGTTGTGCCAAGACTGAAGCAAACGATAAATTGCTTACTTGCATGTGTACCAATTACAGCTTTTTTTTTAACCAATAAATAAATCATTTTCTCGTAAAGCCACTGATTGTTTTTCCTCTTTTCCCATTTGGTCAGTAGACCTACCTTGTATTTTTTGGTGGCAGATCCACTTCCTCCAGCTCAGTCCGCAATTCTGATAGTTCCTGAGCAAGCTCTTTCTCCATTTCCTTAACTTTGGCCATGGTTCCTACCTGATAAACTTCCCCTAGAACTAGTGAAGCCATGATGAAGTTGTTTGCTCACAATGTATTATAGGCCTATGCTGTCGACAAAAGAGGGTAATATTTTCTGTTAATTGATTATAAACTAATACTATTTTTAAATTTAAAAAATTTCCAAAGAACTCTACACATTTTTGGAACAGTGTGAAAAATATTTTAATAACTGTTCAACTTAAGAATTCTTTACTTTACACATTTACATCATTCAAAGAATTCACATTGAATGAATATCAGGGGAAAAAGCATATCTATCAGTTAATTATTAAGTTTCCATCACAATTTTTTTTCCTCCTCTCCTAGCAAAAATCTAGGGGATGTGACTTTTGTTCTTTCTGCAAATTAATAATAATAATTGTAACTAATGACTACATATTTTTTAAAGATTTATTTTTTGGCAGATCTACAAAGATACAATCTGAGGTAAAACTCCATTTTAGCGTATTTTATTCGACCCTTCACGTTCACCTCCGGTTGAGTGTATTTTATTATAAACACAACCAAATGGAGTGGTCTAGCGATAGAGAGCTGGACTGCTAACCCGTAAGTCACGAGTTCGAATCCGAGATGTCCCTGAGTCCACCCAACTCTGATAGGTACCTAACTCACGTTAGGGAGATTAAAGGCGGCTGGGCATAGTGCTGACCACACTATCTCTTCATATGCCGAGGTCACAGAAATAAGTGAACTCTACTTCACTTGCCCCAAAGACCGTCAGGTTTGAAAGGGAAACTTTACTACTTTTACAACCAAAACACTCAAAAACATTAGGAAAACACTAGGATTAGAGCTAGATATCTAGATCTACTTATCTTTTTCTATAAATGTGAGTTTTAATTAGAAAAGGTAAAAAAAAACATTAAAAAGCATAAGGAAAAGTTTCAACTAGATCTAAATAGCATGTGATCGTTAGTGTAATCGTCAGCGGGAGAAAAATCCCTAAGCCAAGCAGTGCATGGTTCACCATGATTTCAAATTGAATTTAATTATCAGCATACGTCATAGCATGGGCAATAGCTATTTGAAATTGTGTTGGCCTCAGTTTTGGGGTCATTGTGAGTTCATAAAAGTTTATTTCTAGTACTTCACCCGTTGCCATGAAAATCTTAACTGACACACAAACATAGCACATTTAATATTTCAAATTTGGATTTTTCTCAAGTTTTGACAAAAGTAAATTATCAAAAACTAAAACAAAAATTCATTAAGAAATAAGCCCAATGTTAATGAATGTTTTCCTAACGTTTTTGTGTGTTCCGGTTGTGTTTGTGTTTATAAATTATAATAAAATACGCTCAAATCCTGGAGGTGAACGTGAAGTGAGGAATAAAATACGCTAAAACGGGAGTCTAGTCTCTACTTCAACTACTTTTGTGGGACTAGATCTAGATCTAGATCAGATCTGGTATGTTTTTTTTCAGACTTCCCAATCAGTATCACTGTCTACGTCACTCTACTAACTACACTTCTACACTCTACGCCTACGGCCAACGCAGTGTATTGTTACTAGTCAATAAACTATATCTAACACTAACTACAAACTCACTTATTGTTGAACTAAATCCTCACAAAAAAAGATTTTCCAATCTTACGATTTATCCATCTTTTAAATTTCGCATCATTATTATTTATTTATGATGACTGCTTTACAAAGCATCAGCTTAACTTCTCCTGTTGCGCAGCAACAGTGAGTAGTTTTCGTAAACTTATACAACAAAGAACTAGATCTACTTTTAAATTTGCAAGCTTGACTTAGCTTAAAAAAAAAAAAACTTTATCGCTTTCAAAAAAAGTAATACAAAAATATAAACTCCGAAAATAGATCTAGATCTATATAGATTTTAGATCTAGATCTAGATTATTTCGTGAAATTAAAGTATCCGTATGCAAACATTTTCTGTTCCTTAAACGCTCCTTTTAAGACAATTTAAGTCTAACGTGTAGGCCTATCGATTTTAACAATTAATTTTCGTAGACGTAATTTGGTAGGCTTACTATACTAGATCTACTTATAATATAACTTTTTAAGGCCTACATGAACGCAATTTGTTTTTGTTTTGTATGTATCATTATAATATTTACAGCTTCGTATACTTGGGGGAGCAATGCTAACTAACTGCCCCCCCCCCCCACCACGGTATACGGAAAAAAAGTCACAGGAAAAAAAAACACAGAAAAAAAGTCACAGTTTTTGTTAGGAAAAAAGTCACAGAAAAAAAGTCACAGTGGAAAAATTTTATCGGAAAAAAAGTCACAGAAATAAAGTCACAGAAAAAAAGTCACAAAAATCTTTTTAGAAATATTTTTTATTAATTTGTTAAGAATTGTAAAATTTTGTATGTTTATTGCTGTGGGTTGTATTTTTGGATAGCATAAATTATTTATAAACGTTAAAAGCATTATGATTTGTAACAATTGTAATTAAAAATACTCTTAGATAATTAGCACAACAATCTCAACTTTTGTTACGTATTTAGTTAAATACGCGGTAGAAAAGTTAATTATAAAAGAAATTTAGGCACATTTTGCCGTAGGCTATTGGCCTCTCCTCAGTAGGCATTGTCCGAACATATTTTGTGCTGTTGACGTTATGCGTCAACGACAGCCTTTGAACCTTGTCGGCTTTCTGTTTTGATCCTCAGTTTTGTTATGTAATGAGCGTGATAAATGTGAGCAGTAAAGGTGGTTGAACTAAACATAACTATTGTTGCCATGAGTTGAGGGCAGCAAGTCAGATGAACCTACCATTTCACGGTAATTTAATATTGGTATTTAAAAAATACACGATGAAAAACGTGGACTTAGGAGCATTCTATTAAATGCTACTAATCTTAAGTTTAAAATAATTACAATCTATATACTTCATAATAAATATTTTTAGATGAATTATAAAAATTCCTATGCGTATACAGCCTACACACATTACATTACATTTAATTAATCCTAAGTTAATTTGCACTCTCTTAATATTTAATACATAGAAGTATTAACAAATATCATGCAAATATATATTTGTGACTTTTTTTCCTGTGACTTTTTTTCCTGTGACTTTTTTTCCTGTGACTTTTTTTCTGTGTTTTTTTTTTTTCCTGTGTTTTTTTTTCCTGTGACTTTTTTTCCTACAATCCCCACCACACACACCGATCCTGGATGAATTTTTAAAAATAAAATATAGGTCTAGTATATAGGCATATTGGACATTTAAACGCTACTTCCCCTTTCCTCCTGGGAAGTAACAGATGCCTCCCCACCCCCACCTACCCTGGTGGGGAAATGTCCGAAAGAATCTCAAGTAGGTGGTGGATAATGTTGCCTTATAATTTGGTGCTTAAAAAATGCTGGTTTCGTGGAGTTTCCTGAAAACCTAAAAAAATGTATCAGAGTATTAAGTTCATATGTTAACCAAGTAATTACACAGTGGTGAAGATTGGAACTGGGCGAATGCTAACTAGATCTACGTAAGTTACTGTGGGTGGTTGTCAACTATTCTATATGCCCTACACTAGGAATTAATTATAGTGGACTAGCCTGTTTGATAGACTTCTTTTTCTTTTATAAATTGTTTGGGACCAACCTTGGAAAGTATTAGCTTGGCAACTGTGTCTCAGCATAAGACCATTTATAGAAGAAGTGCCAATACATTTTAATAGGTGAATGAGTGAATGTATAAACTGTTTTGTCTTTCCTGTTATATAAACCATGTAAAACAATATTAATTTACTGAATTTACTGAAGACCTGTCCTCATGGATGAGTGTTGTTACTTGTAATCCGAACCTCAATAAACGATCGCTATAATAAGATCCAGTGGCGTCACTTTGTCGTGTCACCTGGTGCGGTATCTGAGGGTATCACCCCCTCCCTCTCCAACTATTTTGCATTTTCATTTTGGTGTCACCCCTCTCCCCCTAATATTTTGTTATCTTAACTGGATAAAACCTTATCTTGACAATAAAGATGATACAATTTTTCGTCGTCCACTGTTGATCAGGATTGGTAGATACCATGACAGCTGTCACATTTTGACAGATTGTGGTAAACTTTGTGTCCATCTCTATTCAGACAGTTGGTGCATATGATTCAGTTTTCTTTTGGCTTGTGTCGGATTCCGTTTTATTCCGAGAAAGAAAAATACAGATATTTTATCTTATTTCATGTATTAGTCAGTGGCGAATAGACCAATTCCAGCGCCCGGTACGAACTATCATTTTGCGGCACTCCCCTATTTCTATAGTTATTCAAGTTGGTGAAAAATTGTCCCCCCCCCACACCGCCTCTCAGTCGGAAAGGTAAGGGTACTTTTTACGAGTCACTATCCCGTATAAGTTTTTTTTTTTAAATCTAGGTGCCACTCAGTTGATGTAGAAAACAATTTAATCAGTGTGCAAAGCCTTGTGGACGTTTTCTTTCTTAACTTTGACTGGGTATAATTCAATATTCAAAATGAGCTTTTTAAAAATATTTTTCTATCCCTTTTGGCGCTCCTTTAGGGTTTGCTCCCGGGGCAGCCGCCCCACCCTCCCTCACCTACCTACGCCACTGGTATTAATGCGTGTATGCGTACATGTATGTGCTTTCTGGTGTGCGATGTTTTGAAGAGCAAATCTGTTCCCAAAGTTCACGTTATCACTAAGTTATAGGGTCACTAAGTCAAACATAAAAATAAAACAAAAACTCGTACACACATCACGTTGCCGCATTGAGGAGGGGGGGGGGGTCTGTCTTTTGTGACGATTTGCTTGTTATCTTGTTGATTGAGTATAGTAATCAGAGAATCTGATAAATAATTGATTATGTTTTGAATTGGTGAGATAGAACTTGGATTTTTAATAAATTTATTTTTCATTTGACGATAGCAGGTATAAGTAGCTAAAATCGTATGACATCATATAAAGACAAAACATAGATTTTTAAATCATACATTTATTACAGTCAATTACAAATAATACATTTAAATTATATTTTTTTTATAAAATATGTTATGTATATATATTTATAAATATACGAAAACTTGCTTATTATAACTTTATATTTTATATTTAAAATGACACATGAACACACGACTCGTGAGACTAAATTTTCCCTAGACAAACGCAGCGAAGCTTCAGATAGACGACCACATAGACTAGACAACAATTAGGGACAAGGCATCTTTTTAGTTCGAAAAAACGTATGTATGATGACATAATAATCATATATATATATATATATATATATATATATATATATATATATATATATATATATATATATATATATATATATATATATATATATGCTTGTTTATAAAAAAAAACTTTTCAATGAAATATGCATGGGAGAAAAAAACGCCTGTATATGAAATGGATTTGGGCGATAAATTAGAGTGTAACCGAGGACTCCTTCACTGAGGCTTAGCTATATAATTATGGGCATCAAGGGCGGGCGGGCCCCTGTACCTATCTATCTATAGCACTTGCTGCAAGTCGCAGTGTATGCAACTAATGAATAGCACTCAACACTGCTCTGTAGTATCGATGAAAATCATCAGTCGTGTTTAAACACGCTAGTAAAGTGATGCATTTAATATTTATGTCTACGTTCAACGGTGACTCAATTCGAGGCTACAATGCGTGGACTCAAAACTAAAAAAAAAAGTGGACGCACAATATTCCAGTTCCTATTTGATTATTCATTATTCTGTAAATGATCGATAGATTCAATTTCCTTTGCCGGCTTAGCGTGATCTCGCGCATTATGTCACGTGACGGTGTACACGTAATACGGATGTCACGTGACACAATTAACTAGGCAACATGCGTGAGACTATCTGGTTATACTGTGAGCTAAATGTGTGTAACGGCGGGTTTAACAATGGAGCGACATCATCCTGTACAAGACACGCGATTGTTTAAAAAGCTCACGTAATACTAACACGAGCATGAGAAACAGTTGTGTTTCTCAGTTTATACCCCCAATTACTCACCAACTATTAGAGGCGGACCCAGGGAGGGTGAAAACGGGGCGACCACCCCCTTTCGCGGGTTTAATTACGTGAAGTGAATCAAAGCACAGCCACTGAACTACAAACTTCGTACACATGTAAACATAAACTTGGCCCTGAACAAATTTGATTAAGGGTTCGGTGAAAGCTGTTCAGATCCTCACTGATGCGGCAATGTCATTGATCATAATACATTTATAAACCCGAGACGTTGATCACGATAAATTCACACTTCAGTACCCCGGTAGGTCGCTAAATTATGCAGCACAAATTTATATTCAATATAAAAAAACAAACGCCCCATCCGTCTCAAATTATTTACCAATTGAAAGCCTCTAATTTAATAACGTGGGTATTTGAATAACACACCCACTTGGTAAACCGCGAATCTTTAGTTTAGGATGCCCTTGTTCCGTTGCCTGATAAAGAAATTACTAGTATGTAACATAGTCTGATCATTTGTCTTCGCCAGACAATGACAGATGGAAGCTTGTGTTGGCACAGTGCTTATTCTTCCCCGCCCCTCCCCCTCTCTCTACCCAAACGAATACAGAACTTAGTAGAACAATTTTTTGTTTTATAAGAACTAAGAAGAAATAGATCTGCATTAGTTTATTTTTTGTGTTCCTTATCCTTGCCAAAAAACGAACTTTTTTCCTTCTGGTCTTTTTTCGTCCGGTCTTTCTCTTCTTTCTCCGGCTCCGGCGTTCTGTGCCGGCACACGAGTACGGGAATGGGGGAGTGGTGGACGATGTAGTCACTGACGCTGCCCATTAGGGTACGGCGGACTTTGCTCTGGCCTCGAGTACCTGGAGGGGGAAAAAAACAAGGTTAGGGTTAAATCAGAGGTGAGGTGTAGCTTAGGTATAAACGTCATGTTACGCTTAAATTAAAACGGCTAAATATTTAGCAAACACACACACACACACACACACACACATATATATATATATATATATATATATATATATATATATATATATATATATATATATATATATATATAATTATAAAGGGAATGGCGTGGTCATATAGTAGAGTATATGCCTGTTAACCCGATAGTCTCGAGTTCGGATTATTACGGGGTGAGTCCGCCCCTTGAATCCACCAAGCCCTAACCAAAGGTAGATGAGCATAGTGCTGACCACACTGTCCCTGTCATCCCCCCCCCCCCCGTATGCCGAGGTCATTGAAGCATATGAACTCTACTTTATCTGCCCCACGTATCTTGCGAAAATGTGATTTTATATATATATATATATATATATATATATATATATATATATATATATATATATATATATATATACGTACACATACACAAACATATAATGTAGACAACATGTATGTGTGTGTGTGTATGTGTAGCGTGTAAATGAGTGTATATGTCTTTTACTTTTTACAGCCTAGAATTATTTCCGTTAGAGATTTATTTTTCTCAAGCAACGTGAGATTGGTGTACTGAAACTACTTGTCCTGTTCTGCCTAGCAATTCGCTGAACTTAGTTAAAGATCTCACCGGTCACAATAAAAGTCGCCTTTCTGTTTATGGCACATTCGACGATTTGATACCCAGGCTTTTCGCCATTCAGACGAATAAATTCTCCCTGAATCTGTGGACAGAGCAAATATTTATTTGAGTTCTCTCCCTTGACCGTATACACAATCGATTGTAACATCCCAGATTACCGCGCGTGGTTTCAGCGGCGGTTCTCAAGTGTTAGTATTAGTTTATTTTTTCTATTGCCCAACTCCAATGTTAAAGATTACGATACACATTTCTAAGAGAAATGTATACATTATTATTTTCAATAGAAAAATTATAATTTATTTGTTATGAAATATGAGTATATGTTTTTATATCAAAGGAATATTTTAGTATTTTCTAAATAGTTATATTCATTATTTTATTTTTTAGGGGAGTACCAACACTCCTAACACCTCACCGTGGACACGAAAAAAAAATGGTGCCCTTACTCCCAAAGCATGCAGGATTTTGTAGTAGAAGCGGCAGATAATCAAAAGTAAGGGAAATAAATGCTGCTATTTATTACAGTTCTGTACAATATTTAATTGCGTCTTTCCAATTATATATATATATATATATATTTAAATATACTTTGTTTATGTTATAAAAAGTAACTGCTTATTATTTTATGCAGCATTTTTTTCTAATAGACGTTAATATATTTTAAGATATTTTACCATACTAATAAACTACGCCTAAAGGAAAGTTTCTAAATTATCTAGCCTATTTCTGGCCCAACATTATTAATCTATTAAGGGTTTCAAAGCCGTTCAAAAATTTTTTTTCAAAATTTTGACATAGACTGGGTACTCGTACCTAACTAAAAAAAAAACTGGTCAAAAATACATAATGTATTAATATTTATTAAGACTGTTCTGCAGCCAAACTTCACTCTATCAGCCCCCGAGTAGAACAGTCTTAAGTTTCTCAGGTTTTAAAAGGGCACAGTCTGAATGGTAGAAAAAGATACACACCTCACACCCGTGGGAGGGCTGCTATCTATATAGACGTTTGAAAGGGAAGACTGTTTGATTTGATATGTCTCTTTGTAATCAAAATACAAATTCCGGTTGCTTAAAATTGTAATTATTTTAATTTTCTGTTTTTATGTAATCCCATGTAATGTATTTAATCTCTACTTAAAAGCCCAAACCCCCCTCAGACAAAAACGCCGATAAAAAAAATCCCTTGAATCATCCTTTAATTACACATTTGCATTTTCAGGTTTTTAAAAAATAAAATTGTAATTAGACGTTTTGTATTAGATCTATGTATTAGTAAACCATCTTAAATTGATGAAAGTAGGCTACAAGTAAGAAAGAAGTATTACTATTGTAAATCTTTTTCAGTCCTCACAAGCCGATGATGAAAACTGTAATACTAAAGCGAACATGCAAGGCAAACTGACGCTGTAAATTACATGTTTGAGGCGGAAAAAAAAAGATTTTATTTTTATTTCATGCATCTGATAATACGGGGGGGGGGGGGGGGCGCTTTTAATAAGTTTTGCCTAGGGCGCTAAATAACCTGGCGCCGGCACTGTATGGGCCACAAGATCGCACAAGATCGCACGTCTCTTCAATACGAGTAATTAAAAAAATAATTTTCAAAGATCGGAAAATGTTTCAAGGGCTCGTTTTTTTTTTAATAAAACAGCATTGAAATTTTTGGGAGGTGTGTGGGGGGGGGGGGGGGGGGGGGGGTCAGTAGCGTACGCAGGGGGGGGGAGCAGGGGGAGCGGCCGCTCCCCCTCTGGCCATTTTCAGAAAAGTGGCGCCTTTTTGGAAACTTTTTAAACTCAAAGTTTTAAACAATGATATTTGTTTAAAAAATATTTTTGGTCGGCACATCTATGTAAATCACAAGATTTATTTTCATGCAGCAATTAAGCGTTATTGTACTAGTCTAGTAGTGTCTACGTTTACAACACGTATTAACAGCTGCATCAGTTTGCCATTCTAAAAATAACCATTACGATGCATTGCAATGTTTAAAGAAACCTCTACGGTAGTACCACTTGGCAAGAGGGGTGGTTTAAGGCAACTGTATAATGTATTTGCTTACGAATAATTGAATTAGAAACTGTTATACATAAAACTTCAGACATAATTACTTTATATATAGGCCTACAGTTTGAATCGTGTGATTAATTTAAAAAAAATATAATACAGAAACAAATACAACTGATGTGGCACCCCTGTTTAAATTGGGGAAATTTTGGGCGATAGTGATTACGATTACAAATCATATGAAACAGTTACAACCCCCCTCCCCCATGGACCCCTCTGTAAAAAAATATTGTCATAATACCACTGCTACTTATTTAAATCTATTTCTGTAATATATATTTGTGTAATATATATTTGTGTAATATATATTTGTGTAATATATATGTATGCTTAAAACAGTCATCTAAAAACTGACGCTAAGTTCACTCTGAGTTGGTTATCTCCCCCCCCCCCCCACCTCACCACCACAATTGTGTAGAGCGACATTAATGTCACACCTAGGTATACACTGGGTCGGATAATTGACCTAAAGTGAACGGACAGTAGTGAATGAAGTTGAACCCCCCCCCCCTCAAAACCCCGGGCTGATCTGTTAAGTACATGTAGAAAAACCCGTAATGATGTACCTAAGTACCATGCCGCCCGAAAATTAGCTTTTAAACGTAAAACTCTGTGAATATTGTTTTTGCAATTACCAGTAAAAAGGTGTGTGATCAATACAGTGATCTAACCCATACCTATCACTATGTTAAAAAATTATCTTTAAAGAACACAAAGAAGCAGTAGTTAATCTAATATATAAAGCTCAGTTCTGTAACGTGTGGCAAAAAACAAAAAAGTTTGTCGTTGACACTTCTACGGATTTAAGTGTTAGATTTTTTATCGTGCTCATAGTCTAAATTTACGAGTCAAAAAATTACCATTGAAAGTCTTTAAAAACAATTTTCACTCTATTTACTTAGAAGAATAATTTTCAATTATGAACGCGACATAAAATTTTAAAAAAGTGTATCGACGTTTATAAAATTTCTAAAATTGTGTCGGAAATGTATTGACTGCACAGTTACTTCCCTTTAATAAAAAAAAAATTCTTAAGAAGAAAGAATTTACATTTTATTATTACTTTGTTTTTGGTGTTAAGAAAAAAAAATAATTACATAATTAGCGGGGATTGATTAAGTGCAATGTCGTTAGGTATTTTTAACACTGCCTTTTATTTATTCTATACACTGAACATACTGTTCAATAATTTTTTTTTTAAATCAATAACATTTAATAAGCCAGGTCCTACAAATCCTATATGTTTATTTCTTTCCATTTACGGATAAGCTTGGAGTATTATCATTTTTGTTCACTAAATTGAAACAGGCGCGTCCGCCGGCGCCCTTGCACGGTTCGATTTGGCACCCTGGGCTATCATGTGAGCGCTATGCTGCATTATTTTGTTTTGAACAGTGCGATAGACTATGGATAAGAAAGGTTACTATAGTCTTTAAGTGAATCAAATCCGGGCGTCCTCCGGCACCCCGACAGGGTGCTATTTGGCGCCCCGGGCCTTCCGGTGTACGCTATGGTATCTACGTTCGCGTGAGTTCAAAAGACTATGAATAAGTTATGCACTATAGGCGTTTACTAAGTTCAATCAGGCGGTGACGTCATGGTGCGTCCTCTGGCGCCCAGACAGGGTGCTTTTTGGGGTCCCGGGCCTCCCGTGTTCGGTTTCGCGCCTACGTTCATTTAAGTGAGTGCAAAAGGCTATGAATAAGTTGGGGTACTATAGTCGTTTATTAAGTTGAAGCAGGCGATTCAGCCCCGTGAGCACTTTGCGTTTATATTCGCGTTAGTGTTTTCTTTGTGTTTAGGTTGGGTTTGCATTAGTGGTTGCGTTTTGATTTGGTTCGTTTTTGTTCTTTCTTTTTTCGTTTGTGTTTTATTTTCATTGGGTTTGTGTTTGTGTTTGAGGTTGGTTTTGCGTTTGGATTTGGTTTGTTTTCGTTTGTTTTTTCTTTTGTGGTTTTTTTTTTGGGTTTGTGTTTGTGTTTGGTTTTGTGTTTGGATTTGGTTTGTTTTCGTTTGCTTTTTTCTTTGTGTTCGTATTGGTGTTTGTGTTTGTGGTTGGTTTGTTGTAAGTTTTTGTTTTCGTTTGTATTTGTAATTGTGTTAGCGTTATGTTTGCGTTTTGTTGTTTTGGTTTTGGTTGGTGGTGGTTTGGGTGGGCAATGCCGGGTTTATGATGATTACTAAACACACAGGTGATGGTCTTTAACAGAAAGGTTTTTCACAGAAGCCAGAGCAGGGCCTGGCCGGGACGGCTAGTCTAATATAAAGCTCAGTTCTGTAACGTGTGGCAAAAAACAAAAAAGTTTGTCGTTGACATTTCTACGGATTTAAGTGTTAGATTTTTTATCGTGCTCAAAGTCTAAATTTACGAGTCGAAAAATTACCATTGAAAGTCTTTAAAAACAATTTTCATTCCATTTACTTAGAAGAATAATTTTCAATTATGAACGCGACATAAAATTTTTAAAAAGTGCATCGACGTTTATAAAATTTCTAAAATTGTGTCGGAAATGTATTGACTGCAAAGTTACTTCCCTTTAATGAAAAATAAATCCTTAAGAAGAGAGAATTAACATTATATTACTTTGTTTTTGGTGTTAAGAAAAAAAAAATAATTACACAATTAGCGGGGATTGATTAAGTGCAATGTCGTTAGGTATTTTTAACACTGCCTTTTATTTATTCTATACACTGAACATACTGTTCAATAATTATTATTTTTTTTTAAATCAATAACATTTAATAAGCCAGGTCCTACAAATCATATACGTTTATTTCTTTCCATTTACGGATAAGCTTGGAGTATTATCATTTTTGTTCACTAAATTGAAACAGGCGCGTCCGCCGGCGCCCCTGCACAGTTTGATTTGGCACCCTGGGCTATCATGTGGGCGCTATGCTGCATAATTTTGTTTTAAACAGTGCGATAGACTATGGATAAGAAAGGTTACTATAGTCTTTAAGTGAATCAAATCCGGGCGTCCTCCGGCACCCTGACAGGGTGCTATTTCGCGCC